GGACTATGGATATTTACATGCATGTGTACAGTCAATAGTTCCAAAAACTTCCTGTGTATCAAATTATAAATCATCTCCAATTCATTATAATATTTGTAATGCCGTATTTTTATATATCGAAAAAGGCGAAAAAAAAATCAGTTTCGTCCAGTTTCTAAAAACTCTCCTCCCATTTTAAATTTTCATCTAAAGAGTCTAAAGACAGTCAAGACTTAAGTCACATGAAATCACATGAAAAGTATGGTTAAGTATTTCCTAAATGTTTTAGGCAAGCCCAGTGAGATGTCCTAACTTTAGGCATTTCCTATTACTTTTAGGTATTACTTAGTGCATGGTGAAATGCAAATTGTACTTAGGAATTCCTAAATCCTGTTTAGGTATTACCTAACTTTAGGAACTGGTTGGTGAAATCGGGCATTATAGTTATTTTAAATAAAAAAAATTACTGTTTGTACATAACTTAAAATGCATTTCCGAAGAAGAAATTCGCTCAAAGCGCGAAGAGATCATTACCGAGAGCGGATCGCGTTCATTTAACAGTTCATTTTTATCGCCGTAACGGCCATCAACAGTTCGACTCCCGCATTATTGAAATTAATGAGGGAAATCCATTTTGAATTGTCGTAGATCTCGCCGGTTAGATAATAACGCCTCATTGTAAGTAAGTAGGCTGATTAAGAAATTATTTAAATGTTTCTAACGTGTTCTTCGTGAATGAAGGAACAAGGTTAAATGCCCTGTTCAGTTATACGTAGCTTGTTGTGAGTGTGTACATACCAGAAAACAAACATTTATATTTATTTTCCTATTGGAAAGAACGTGATTGTAGATTGATCGGTGAAAGAAAATTCCGCGCGGGTCAACGATTGCATACGGCCTTAAAGTTGACAATTTTATTTACAACTACAATACTTATTGTAATTAAAACACAACATTTACGAAAGGAAGCACTTGCGTTTAACATACGTTGGAAATTTAATTTCGCATAATAGGGAAATCAATGTTAAATTTTTAACCAGCTGAAATCCAGTCTACTAGTGTAGATTTTAATAGAACGTCGCGATCAATTCTAATAAATTTAATTGTTCTACTGGACTTCACACCGCGATTTGTAGAGGTACAAAGTATTTGTGTTAAGTATGAGGTACAAAATTATTTAGAAACTAATTTTTTTTTGGGATATTTCAAAAAAATAAGTGTATCGGTAGGTACAGTTTTGAAAGAGCAACAAATCTTGTTGAAATAAGGGAAAAAATAATTCAATTTTCTGCTAGAATTACACCTCAGCTCAGTAATATGAGATGACATCTGTATGACAGGTTTGGCTATAGTTTAGCAGAAAGCGGTGGACTATTTTTTAGAGTTTTTTTATTTTCTGTTTTAAAATAATCTTTAAGTTTATTTTTGGAGTTTCCTTTTTATTATTTTCTTAGAATTTACTGTCTTTTTCAAGCCATTGTGGCAAAAAGACATATCTACATAATTCTACTTTAATATTAGTGATATTTTTAGTGAAATTATTTGATTTTTAATCTAACCGAACCAAATCGCGGTGTGAAGTCCAGTAGAACAATTAAATTTATTAGAATTGATCGAGAAGTTCTATTGAAATGTACACTGGTAGACTGGATTTCAGCAGGCTAAGAATTTAACATTGATTTCCCTATTACGCGCGAATTATTTTCCAACGCTGTATACATACAATACACAATCCAAAAGAGGCAAGGAAAATTATAAAAGTATGGAAACAAACAATGTTTGAATAAATCAATTGCATTAGGTAGTTGTAATTAGCATTATTATTGATGCATAGCAATGAAACAGACATGGCATTGAAGCAACAAACATAGCACCGATGTAATTATTTGCAATAATAATTAACGTCGTTATCATTTGGTCGCTTCGAAATAAAATACTGCGACTTTAAACAGTTTAGTGCGAAACGAACGATTTTACGGTGCGCGTGCGGTGTACGAAATACAGGAATCCTGTTAAAAATGTTGTTTAAATCACATGAGGATTCGATCATATTTAAAGGTCAGTTGGTGCTTATTTCGGCGATAAAATTTTCTAACATAAAAGGTAGAGAGAATGTTGAGAGTTAAGATTAAAGGTGCAGTTAAAATAAGAGAATTGATAATATCAGTAGGAAATTTAAAGAATTTATTTATTATCTTCTTATTTGATTAAACTTACCATTACCAAAAATTTTCTGCTATACAGTGTGTCCACGGAGGGGGTTGCCTATAGGAGAAAAATTTTTATTATTCATTTTACGACAAAAAGTCATTCTTTATAAAAATTTTTGCTTCTTTTAAAAATGAGAATAACACTGAAAAATCTTAGATTGGATCTACAGGGTGTTGCTAAATTAAGAAAACATGAAAATACCTCAAGAGAGAAGTACCATTATTTTTTATTTTACACAAAATTTTTATAAAAGAAAGTTGTTTATAATCTAAAATAAAGCCTGAATACAAATTTGTAAACTTAAATTCAATATTTCATGACAACAAAACTAATCTAATCCCGTTATACTTACATTCGTGGTGGAGCTAATCAAACTTTTGTGGCAAATTCGCACGTTAATTTACTGAAAATTTACAATAAAATGCGGCGGAAAAACGATCAGATAAATTAACAAACATGTATGTATACCTACGTGCTCGGTCCATTCTAATCTCGCGAAAATGAATTACCTGCTCGTGATCAAGTTTTGTAAATTAGCGTTCCATACCGTGTATTACCGAGTAATGGGCGGTTCAATTAATAAATTCGAACGGGAACTCGAGATTGTCTAGTTTCGTTTAGTAATTGTTGGATATCACACGGAAACATCATAGTAAGGGAGCTCACACTATTTTTTCTCATACAATACTTTGCAAATATTACACAATTGAATATTTTAAAAGTTATTATTTAGTGTCTTTATGATAATATAGTATTCTAGTAGAGTAATAGTATTTTTGTAGTTTGTAAAAGAACATTTAAGTGAATAGAATTGGAAGATTTCAGATTCGAGATAACAGGCGCTCTTACTAATAAAACAACGCTAGTATTGAATGCAACTCCTTCTACTACTCCGAACGGATCTGTGGGTAGAAAAGTTCTTTGTAATTATAAATGAATGTAGGTACGCGCAGCTTCGAGGCACTTGTCTGTTACTAACTGTTGTTTCTTTGAATGAATCGTTGAAAAACACTACCTCTGTCATCGATAAACATCTTGACTGATGATTTTTGCTCTTCGCGGGTAACTTTAAAAGGTTTTTATCTTCGACTCGAGGAGTCGAACTAAATGAAATTACCTTTTCGAAAGATGTGAGGAAAATGCCCGCCGGACTGAATCCATCATTTTTAAAATTGGTTTTTTACTTGCGCAACTACAGAATTTAGTGTATTCTAGGAATTTTAAGAAATTTATAGATAAGGTAGAAATGGAAAATAACGACAGCGTATACAGTGTGTGTCACGACGAGGGCTCACAAGTACCAAAATTAATAATCAATTAATTACAAACAATTTACATGGCCAACTTGTAAAGCAGAGTTATTTAAGAATAAGGTAGAAAAGTAAGATTTATGTAAAATATTCAATATCTTCAAAATTATTAGGTTTAGGTATAGGGAAGTAAACATGAACTTCCCTAATTTTTGACCGCTGATTTCATTAAAATTGAAAAAAATGGGTGGTTCCATTTAAAAAAAAATGAAATAATTTGGTATTTTTGAAGTTCAACTTTTCACATGTTTTGTATACACCCTGTATAAAATAAAAAGTTTTTTAACACAGATTCAAATACCTTTGACCTTGCTAGTGGCCACCCTACAGACACCGCATCCATATCTTAAAAGGGATCCCCGTAAAAAAATAATTTATAAGGGCCTGCATCGGTCAAATTTTTCAAAAAAAAAATTAGTAACTCAAAAAGTATGCATTTTTGAAAAAAGTTTTTAAGACAAAATCACTTTAAAATTTTGCGTACATTTCGAAAATATATTAATATATGGGGTGTCCCATTTAAAATAGCAAAGTTGCTATCCACTTCTGGTATAATCTTAAGTAAAGAAAAGTTAAAAATATTTTCATTGAATAGATCGCATCGACTAATACTTTTACACAAATTTTCAAATTTTAAAAACAACTACTTTTCCAGATACTTCTAATGGGCCCTTGTTGTGACACACACTGTATGCAACTACGCATTGTGCTCGTTATTAATCGCTTTGAAAGTTCCAGATAAATCTTAACAGTCACTGTTTGGTTTAATTGGTGCTATTTTTTACATTCCTGCGTCTACTTCCTGCTTATCTTTTAATTTTATTACTTTAATAACTATGTCAATAATTAAAAGGCATCCTGCTTACAGTTAGGTATAGGTACTCTTCGCATTATTTACGTTGAAATGATTGCATATACAGGATGCTACATTATTATAAAACCATAATTCTTTCTTTCTTTCCTACCGTTATGTGTTGGCAGTGATGTTAAAATTACTTTATAATATGTAATTAATTACAATTACAATTACTTTTGGCAAATTGTAATTAATTGCATTTACAATTACAAAATTTGCGAATGTAATTACAATTACAATTAACGTTACAATTACAATTACAATTACAATTACAATCACAATTACTTTGCTTTGGTGTCAGTTTTAAATAATTATTTAGGGATTTGCAATCGGAATTAAACTTACCACGTATTGAAAATATTAAATAAGTACTTTTGTGTCCAATGTAATTGAAATGTAATTGTAATTGTAACGAAAGGAGTAATTGAATTACAAATGAATTACAATTGAGGATCTTGTAATCAATTACCGCCTCAATTACAATAAAAGTAATTCAATTACTTTTTCAATTACTTGTAATTAATTACTTAACAACACTGTGTGTTGGATATCATGTTTTCTGGTCAGTGTAGGGTTTATTAGAAATTGTTTTCCCAGGAGGAAGTTTCTCTAATTCTAAAATAAAGCAATTTTCCTATTTTTAGGTGCAAATGGAAGCGCACGAGCGTATATGAATGGACATGCTGTTAAACCCGAAGACAAACTATCAACACTATCCAGGTATATAGTTTTTTTTTTAATTCAAATTTTAATACGATTCAATATTGGTCTAATTACGAATTTCCTTGCGTCTTCTTTTGAATGTTTTACGCCATTCAAACAACATAATTTATTAGGCAGGTACATCGTTAACAGATAAGAAATGAAGTTGTCTAATTTATGATACACATGTACAAGCGTGTAATACCATATCAAATAAAAATCAATACAGCCTCCGTGACATAATGATTGATTAAAATCGCCGTCAAACAACGTTCCCGCTACCTTTTAAATTAATTGTAGCGGCTTTTGATAAATCGACTTATATTCAACGTTGATAATTCAGATCTGGTTTCGGCTGTCGGTTATTGGTAGCTCGATTCTTTTCTGGTTAATGATCTGAAACAATAACGCGTAAACTGTTGGAGCCGATGGTTCATCGCTGCTTTTCAACGAGAATTTATAATTTATTACCAGCTAAAATCGCTGGGTAACTTACCTATAAAAATTTATATGTGAATGGTTTAACGTACAATTTTTAACAAATTAGCCTTCTAGTGTTTCTCCTGAAGCATTAATTTATTTTTGATGACTTCTTTTTCATAGGTTTTATCTAAAAAAATTGTGTTAGTATTCCTGATTGATGATGGACTGGGGCCTATTTCATATAACTGACAAGTCCTGTCGGACAAGTGTAGTCTAAATTTGACTGGGGTATTTGACAAGTTTGTGTTTCATAAAATTACACGAGTAGATTATTAGTGACAAGTGACTAGCCTAATATTACAAGTCTGTTTTATAATTGTAAATAGGTTTGCGTTTCATAAAAAATAAATTAAACAACACTTGTCATTTATTCCTATCCTATATTAGTGTAAAGCGACAGGGACTTGATTTCCTGTCACCATCCGATTTTCTTGTAAATTTAAAAGAAAATGTGGTCTAGCGACAGTGAGGAGGAAGCTTAATGAGAGTTTAATAAAAGATTTCGAATGAATTCGATAAAAATGGAGGAAATAATAAAATCTATTGGTCCCCGCCTAATGTATAGAACCAACGTATAGAAATTATGAATTGTATTTGTTCGTTCCAATGCTCACATTTTGTAGCTTTTGTAGAAGTGGGACAAAATTTTTCAAACATAATGCCCATTCTTTATTAGAATAATTGAAAATTAAATAAATGTTGCTGCATTTTAGAAATAAGTTTTTTGTCAATAAACGAAATTGTCGTGGTTCACATCTAAAAATAGCTCTAACCAGAAAAAAAACAATTTCAAAGTAAAAGTTTCCCAATATCGAAAAACGAAGGTTGTGCTATACTTATGCTCCTCAGTATAGTATGTACTATTTTTTTTTGGCTTTAGTCTGACATTTAATTAATATTACAGTTGTAGAAAAATGAATGCCAAAAATTTAATTCGACAAGTGTCGAAATTCATTTTATGAAACGAAATTTTTAAATACTTGTCAACCAACACTTGTAACTTGTCAACTTGTCAGTTATACGAAACAGGCCCCTGGTATTAAAAATTACCACTTCGTAGTCTTTAGTAATCGATTTTTCCTCGTTGGTGATATTTCCCAGCATGTCGATATAGTATTTTACGTTTTTGGTTACTTCGTTCCTCAGGCGTTCCTGCCTGCTGGTGCAATCCTCGATTTGATCGCGCAGCTCCTTGCATTCGTTCTCGCATTTGGCGACCTCCGATTGCAATTTCGAGTAAAACTTCTTCACCTCGTTCCTCGTATCGTTCAGCTTGTCGAGGTTCTCCTCGGTCGACGACATCTTCTTCATCGACCCCTCCAGGTCCTTCTCCTTCTCGTCCAGCTCTGACCTGAGGATCTCGAGATGAGTGTCCAGCTCCTCGACGGTGCAGACTATCTGCCCCGAGGCTGTCACCAGCGGCAATTCGGTGATCCTGGGTCCCCTGAGGCTGAAGTAGGTGTCTTTGAAATCCCTGAGGTCGCTGCGGTAGACGATGAGAATGGCGATGACGAAGAGAAACGAGCCGAAGAACAGCGGCAAAGCCAACAGAATCATTTCGATTTTACGCTGTCTAACAAGAATTTCTTTAACTCAAATGCATATTAGGCTGGATGCGTTGACGCTGTCAAGTCGATCGCTTGTCAGTTTTTCGTTGATTAATCGCCGAATGACCTAAATAGGGATTTTCCATTTTCTTTGCACGTTTTCGACGGAGCATCACGATTTCGCTGCATGGAGGCCCGTTAGAAGCGCTACACTCGAGAATTTGCTTACCATACGGAATTGGATTTTTGCAATCAAACGGAATTCGAGATTTTTCTCGATGAGGGACACCGCGGAATATGCTTCGGAAATTTTATAAGACCGGGCCGCATCCCGATCGACCTCTCATCTTACGCTTACACGAACTTTGATGCAATTAGTGATTAGACGTTGCTGGGTTTCGACTTATTCGCCAATTTTATATCCAGTGAAATAAGTAAATAACAGATTATTGCTTGAAAGTTCGTGAATTCTCGCTCATACAGTGCATTTCTTTAATGTACCCCCCTTTTATTTTTTGAACGGATCAACTTAGAAAATTGAAATTTAGGATAACAAAACTAATGCATGATTACTATATTTTGGAGTAAAATTGACAGATGAAAATATCAAGATGGCGACTGGGCGCCATATTGTGAAATAAATTTAAATGGAAAGGGGGGTCTTGTGACACATCATTTTGAAGCTCCTGATAAATACTCTACAACCCTGGAATATAAAGTCAATATCTGCACCCATTTAAAAATGGCGGAACATTTAATAATTACCTGAATACAAACAAATTTATATCAATTTTTCTATAAATATTTGTTTTTCTATGGCAAATAGCAATCCCAGCAAACCGATAAGGTTTGACAGGTTATTTTTGGTTAAAAAAAATTCCAAAAAATTTAAGTACGACAACGAACATTAATTGTTTAGTCAAAATATGCTCATTTAGTTTTTGGTTTTCCTAGTGTTCAAAATATTCTCTTTAGTTTTCGATTTTCCTAGTGTTCAAAGTATTTTCATTTAGTTTTCGGTTGTTTAGTTCTCATTGTAGTTAGGTACGACGTGAACTAACTCTAAAATGGCCAATTCTCGTCCATTGGCCAGGTCCGGAATGGCCAGCCTGCTCGCCAGATTCGACACCTTTAGACTTTTTTTATGGGGTTATTTGAAGCAAAATGTGTACGAAACTAAACCTGCTTCAATATTGGATATACGAGAAATAATTACAGATATTTGTAAAAATATCGACATTACTATGTTCGAAAATGTTCGGTTAGGATGTTCTTACATCAAGAAGTTCAAGGCAACCATTTCAAGCATTTTTTGAACTGAACTCAGCTTATTTCCTCAAATTATGACGTTAAACGTCGATGTATTCAGGTAATTATTAAATGTCCGCCATTTTGTAGCAGGTGCAGATATTGACTTTATATTCCAGGGTTGTACAGTATTTATCAGGAGCTTCAAAATGATGTATCACAAGACCCCCCTTTCCATTTAAATTTATTTCTCAAGATGGCGCCCAGTCGCCATCTTGAAATTTTCATCCGTCAATTTTACTCCAAAATATAGTAATCATGCATTAGTTTCATTATCCCAAATTTCAATTTTCTAAGTTGATCCGTTCAAAAAATAAAAGGGGGGGGGACATTAAAGAAATGCACTGTATATTGTCTTCGTTTATAAGTAATCGAGTTTAGTTTTCGATTATTTCAATCGCCTTTCGTGATTCGGCAATCGTTTTTTTTCTTCTCAACCGCTTTTTCGGCCAACATTCGTCCAAATTCTCAACACAAATTCATAATGAACGGTTCTCTATCACGAACGGGCAATTTTACGATATACATAAATATGTCCGAATTATTAACGTAAATTTCTTCTCACGTTTGTGACCTAGTGGTTGAATTCGAGAAAATTAGGATTACGTGAGATAGACGTTGTAAATGAGCTATTGATAGCTTTGCCCGGGTCATTAGCCAATATGTAACTGATATTGGTTAACTAGGTATTCCACTAACGGTGCCGTTATACACTTAAGACTTGATACAATGATGTGAGGATTGAAAGATTATAGAAGGTGCAATGTGTATTATTTTGTAACAAATCAAATAACAAAATTGCTAAGGAATTGGCAATTGGAATGCGCTGACATCTCAATTTAGTTTTTACTATCTATATCCACCTTTGAATAATATAACAAAGTTTAATTACAAAATCGAAGAAATTTTATTGCCCATTACCGGCCGTTATTATTGCAATTGCATCCTTTCTATAAAAGCCGATTCCACTCTCAAATATCCATTATTTCTTAGACAGCCCGGAAGAGAAATCACATCATCATTTCATCGATCAACAGTTATTTAATTTTTGGGTTACGATGGTACCGTAATTAAGGGTAGACCGATAGAAAATGTAAATGATACCTTCTCATCTGGATTAGACACGCTGTAATTTATTTCAAGTTCATTCAATGTTATCGTGACCCTGTATTATATTTATTAGGATTAAATTACTGTAGACGTAACGTAATGAGGCTACACACAATCCAGCAGCGCACCCTTAGAGGCTCCATTTTATTTTTTTCATACGCTTTGTCTTAATACAATATCTATACAGTGTGTCCACGGATGGGGTTGCCTATAGGAGAAAAATTTTGATTATTCATTTTACGACAAAAAGTCATTGTTTATAAAAATTTTTGCTTCTTTTAAAAATGAGAATAACAATGAAAAATGTTAGGTTGGATTTACAGGGTGTTGCCAAATTAAGAAAACATGAAAATACCTCAAGAGAGAAGTACCATTATTTTTTATTTTACACAAAATTTTTATAAAAGAAAGTTGTTTATAATCTAAAATAAAGCCTGAATACAAATTTTCAAATTAAAATTCCAATTTTGTGTGTCCACGGATGGAGTTGACCAGAGGAGAAAATGATTATGTAATGGGTTGCGGGAAAAGGTGGTTGAAATTTAGAGGTTCGGCATATGTAAGGGGTCAATCACAGTTTCAGGATAGTGAACGTTTAATATTGACTGAGTAAAACGAGAAACAAACTTAGTTAAAAATGTGCAAATGTACATAAATACGGATGAAAGTTATTATTCATCTTCCAGCCAAAAACGCGGGACTCTTGACGTTAGTTACTTGACGTTCTTGACAACGTTGACAGACGTCGTTTGTCGGACGGGACCGACTGGCCCTTTACGTCGCGTTACGATTATTCATTTTACGACCAAAAGTAATTTTTTATAAAAAAAACTTTCTTGGGAAAATGGGATTCACATACCAAACATTAGATAAGATGTATAGGGTGTTAGTAAATTAAGAAACAGGAAAAAATTTCAAGAAAGGAAGAAAGAATTTTTATTATCTTACATAAAGAAAGAATTTATTTATTATCTTACATTATTATTTACAAAAAAAATGCTTTAAATCCAAAGTAAAGCCTAAACACAAATTTTCAAATAAAAAATACAATTTTTACATTATTAATTTGTTTTAATTTACTTTGGATAAAAGCATTTTTTTTATAAATAATAATGTAAGGTATTGTAAATAATATGTAAAATTTTGTAATTTTTTCCTGTTTCTTAATTTACTAACACCCTATACATCTTATCTAATGTTTTGATATGTGAATCTCATTTTCTCGACAAGTTAATTTTTTTATAAAGAATGGCTTTTCGTCATAAAAATTAATAATAACCATTTTTCTTACCTGGTCAACTTTATCTAGGGACACACAAAATTTGAATTTAAGTTTGCAAATTTGTATTCAGGCTTTATTTTAGATTATAAACAACTTTCTTTCATAAAAATTTTGTGTAAAACAAAAAATAATGGTACTTCCCTCTTGAGGTATTTTCATGTTTTCTTAATTTGACAACACCCTGTAGATCCAATCTAAGATTTTTCAGTGTTATTCTCATTTTTAAAAGAAGCAAAAATTTTTATAAACAATGACTTTTTGTCGTAAAATGAATAATAAAATTTTTTCTCCTATAGGCAACCCCATCCGTGGACACACTGTATGTTTACGTAATAGTTTATGCTACACCATTTCCAGTTGTATTTCGGAAGCTATCAAATTAATTTCAGAATCAATCAAATGCATTTCAGACTAGTCAGATTAATTTTAGAAAGTGTTAAATGTATTTCAGAATAATCAAATGTACTTCAGACTAGTCAAACGAATTTCAGATAGCATCAAATACATTTCAGAACAGTCATATTTTTTTCAGAAAGCGTCAAATGTATTTCAGATTAGTCAAATGTATTTCAGATTTGCCAGATTTATTTCAGAAAGCGTCATATGTATTTCAGAATAGTCAAATGTAGTTGTGAAAATGTTAAATGTATTTCAGACTACATATTGGAATGCAGAAAATCATATCCAAAGGGTAAGGGGGAGGAAGAGAAATCTGACTATTCTGAACTCCATGTGACTATTCTGAATGGTTTTTAACATTTTCTAAACGACATTTGATATATTCCGAACTACATATGACTAATCTAAAAAACATTTGACGCTTTCTGAAATAAATCTGACTATTCTGAAATACATTTGACGTTGTCTGAAATACATTTGGCTATTCTGAACTACATTTAACTAATCTGAAATTCGTTTGATGTTTTCTGATATAAATCTGACTATTCTGAAATACATTTAATGCTTTCTAATATACAACTGGAAAAGGTGTAGTTTTTAGACAAATTTGCTTGATTAGTTTATTATTATCGCAAGGATAAAGAGGAAAGTGTAAGATGCGGGTACGCCACTGGCGCGAATAAATCCTTACGTAATAATATAAACGAGTTACGAGCGGCTCGAACGAAATCCCGGTGAATGATTGCGTTTTGCGTTCGACCTTAAAGGCGAGCTTCTAAATTTTCCTTTTGCGCTGCATCGGGGCTCTTGCACAACCGACACCAGGAAGTCGGAGATTCCAATTCGAGCCGTGACGATGGCGGAGCGCACCGTGAGAGGATCCAGATGATAATTGTGCGTCCTTACAATACTCATATATGCACGTTAGTTATTCGAAATTCTACGGCTTTATGGCATTCGGTATTTTACGGCCGGAATCTCAATAGCGCCTGGTTTGAATGTAATTTAGTAAAAACCGAATTTACTGGTGTATACAGTGTATCCACTGATGGGGTTTTGCCTATAGGAGAAAAATTTTTATTATTCATTTTACGACAAAAAATCATTCTTTATAAAATTTTTGCTTCTTTTAAAAATGAGAATAACAATGAAAAATCTTAGATGGGATCTACAGGGTGTTGTCAAATTAAGAAAACATGAAAATACCTCAAGAGAGAAGTACCATTATTTTTTATTTTACACAAAATTTTTATAAAAGAAAGTTGTTTATAATCTAAAATAAAGCTTGAATACAAATTTGCAAATTAAAATTCCAATTTTGTGTGTCCACGGATGGAGTTGACCAGAGAAGAAAATGATTATTAATTTTACGAAAAAAAAAGTAATTCTTTATAAAAAAAGAGCATTAAACGAGAGATTAAAAGCATTTTTTTGTAAATAATAATGTAAGATAATAAATAAATTCTTTCTTTATGTAAGATAATAAGAGTATCCAGATGATAATTGTGCGTCCTTACAATACTCATATATGCACGTTAGTTATTCGAAATTCTACGGCTTTATGGCATTCGGTATTTTACGGCCGCAATCTCAATAGCGCCTGGTTGAATGTAATTTAGTAAAAACCGAATTTACTGGTGTATACAGTGTGTCCACTGATGGGGTTGCTTATAGGAGAAAAATTTTTATTATTCATTTTACGACAAAATGTCATTGTTTATAAAATTTTTTGCTTCTTTTAAAAATGAGAATAACAATGCAAAATGTTAGGTTGGATTTACAAGGTGTTGTCAAATTAAGAAAACATGAAAATACCTCAAGAGAGAAGTACCATTATTTTTTATTTTACACAAAATTTTTATAAAAGAAAGTTGTTTATAATCTAAAATAAAGCCTGAATACAAATTTGCAAACTTAAATTCAAATTTTGTGTGTCCCTAGATAAAGTTGACCAGATAAGAAAAATGGTTATTATTAATTTTACGACGAAACGCCATTCTTTATAAAAAAATTAACTTGTCGAGAAAATGAGATTCACATATCAAAACATTAGATAAGATGTATAGGGTGTTAGTAAATTAAGAAGCAGGAAAAAATTTCAAGAAAGAACGAAATAATTTTTATTATCTTACACATTTGAAAATTTGAATTCAGGCTTTATTTTAGATTATAAACAACTTTCTTTTATAAAAAATTTGTGTAAAATAAAAAATAATGGTATTCTTCCCTTGAGGTATTTTCATGTTTTCTTAATTTGGCAACACCCTGTAGATCCAATCTAAGATTTTTCAGTGTTATTCTCATTTTTAAAAGAAGCAAAAATTTTTATAAAGAATGACTTTTTGTCGTAAAATGAATAATAAAAATTTTTCTCCTATAGGCAACCTCATCAGTGGACACACTGTATAATTTGGAGATTTGTAATCGAAAAAGGACTAAGGTAGACTGGGGCAAATGTAAAAATGGGGTAAATCTAATATTTTTACCTATAACTGACAAGTCCTATCGGACAAGTGTAGTCTAAATTTGACTGGGGTATTTGACAATTTGTGTTTCATAAAATTAACACGAGTAGATTATTAGTGACAGGTGACTAGCCTAATATTACAAGTATGTTTTATAATTGTAGATAGGTTTGCGTTTCATAAAAAATAAATTAAACAACACTTGTCATTTATTCCTATCATATATTTGTGTAAAGCGACAGGGATTTGATTTCCTGTCACCATCCGATTTTCTTGTAAATTTAAAAGAAAATGTGGTCTAGCGACAGTGAGGAGGAAGCTTAATGAGAGTTTAATAAAAGATTTCGAATGAATTCGATAAAAATTGAGGAAATAATAAAATCTATTGGTCCCCGCCTAATGTATAGACCCAACGTATAGAAATTATGCATTGTCTTTGTTCGTTCCAATGCTCACATTTTTATAGCTTTTGTAGAAGTGGGATTAAGTTTTCCAAATAGAATGCCCGTTCTTTATCAAAAAATTAAATGTTAAATAAATGTTGCTGCATTTTATAAATAAGTTTTTTGTCAATAAACGAAATTGTCGTGGTTCACATCTAAAAATAGCTCCAACCAGAAAAAAAAACAATTTCAAAGTAAAAGTTTCCCAATATCGAAAAACGAAGGTTGTACTTATGCTCCTTAATTAATATTACAGTTGTAGAAAAACAGATGCCAAAATTTTAAATCTACAAGTGTCGAAATTCATTTTATGAAACGAAATTTTTAAATACTTGTCAACCAACACTTGTAACTTGTCAACTTGTCAGTTATATGAAACAGGCCCCTGGTTAAATGTAATTTAGTAAAAACCGAATTTACTGGTGTATGTATGGTAATATTGTAATATAACGTCAACGAACTTATTAGCGTGACTTATTAGAGTGATAAGATAAGAGAGTTTTGTAGATTTTAATGTAAATATGTACTATGTAAATACATATGTAATAAATTAAAAAAAATATTCCAGGTATTGCACGACGGATCGTCGAAAAAATGCAACAAACTACAATGCTATCAGGCGGTCCTGCAGAGAGCGAGGATGCCTTTACGAGGATCCGGATTTTCCAGCAGGAGCTAAGGCATTGTACCACCACAAAAAGCCTCCGTTAAGTCCCATAATATGGATGAGACCGCATGTGAGATATTTTTAACACTATAAGAATTGCTACGTTCGATTCTCGAACAATTCAGAAATTATTTATTCCCGCTACGTTTCCATGTATGTAGGTATAGAAACTTAATAGCTGTGTATGTAAAAATGCGCGAATTTATAGCGGCTCCTATTATTAATTTCTTTGCCAACTCGTATAACTTCTACCGTGTTGAAATCGAAACCGTAATGTATGAAAACAAGATAAATACAATTTATTTGCTTGTACGTTAGGAAAACACGCCATTTTTACACCACTTAACAGGTGCTTTTAACAAGGAACATGGCGTAGGTTATTTTACTAACACAGTATGATTTCGAAATGAATAGGGATTATGTTTAGAATAAGAAATAACAAGCTACTTAAAAAAATCTAGCAGTTGTAAAAGTATGTTCCTGTCACTGTTACGGGCGATTTATCTTTGATAAATACACTGTGTTATTTATAAGATGTGACATAGGGATTCCTGTACAAATGTGTCAAAAGCAAGATAACTTTTTTACCAAATAACGTTCGTAAAAAATGACAGATTTGAAAAGATCGTCAAAAAATAAGTCGAAATGGACATTAAATTTTATTAAATTCGTTTTGGTTTAATAAAAAAATGTATAATTAAGTTGAAAAAAGTCATACGTCATATGTCACTATCTAATAATTGCTAAAAGGGGCGGAGATATCTGGAATGGTTTACGCTCTGAAGTTTGAAAAAATCAGCGGTAAGGAATCTGGTTTAAACCCACGCAGTGATGAATTTTTTTTTCTTTTTTTCTTTGGCATTTTTTGTTTTTTTAATGTTTTTTTTTTGTCAAGAATAAAAATATGGCATCATTTTAAAGGCTCTACCTAATAACGAGATTTTGCGTTATTAAAATTGACACTTACTTGTCGGAGCTTTTATTTAAATAAAAATAAAATTATATCTCAAATAAGCTCGTCTTATTTTAAATATTTCTATTTAACATTTTTTAGACAAAAATTTTAGAAAAAAATCCAAAAAAAAAAGAAAAAAATGTCATTACTGAGAGGGGATTGAACCACATTACTTCCCGCTAACTCAGCCCATTTTACAATTATTAGATAGTGACATAAAAATGACACATTTATGACGTTTGACTTTTTTCAACTTAATTACACATTTTTTAATTAAACCAGAACGAATTTAATAAAATTTAATGTCCATTTCGACTTATTTTTTGATGATCTTTTCAAATCTGTCATTATTTTTTACGAACGTTATTTGATAAAAAACTTAGCTTTCTTTTGACACATTTGTACAGGAATCCCTATATCGCATCTTATAAATAACACAGTGTATAATAGATGATGTTCCAGTCGCTTATCTCGAGGAAAGAAGAAAAAAAAACAATAAAATAGTAAATATCTATTTCGTGACCAGCCAGTTCTCTGAAAAAGCATCGCGCACTGAAAATATCAAAATCAAACAGCACAATTAAGAAGCAGTAACAGTAGCGACTTCCTGCAAAAACTTCGCGCAACCATAAAGATCCCGTGAAGATAATAATAGAATTGAGCGTTTTGTCAGTTTTTTCGTTTAAAGGACGAGCCATTGTCAATTTCATCAACTTTTAATTTGACAAATAAATGTCAGAGCCAAGAAACCATAGCAACAATTAATTGACACATTTTATAGTACGTTTAGAATTAATTTTTAAATGTTTCAATATGCCCGGGGGTTAATACTAAATTGGTTTTCACGTGAATAAGCGTTGTTAAAATGTTTTCAAATTTGGGGGTTGACTTAAGAATGAAATTACCTTTAAAACGAGGTGTCACTTGACCCCTCTTTCCATAAGAAAAAAAGAATCAAAATGGTGCCTAACTGTCATTTTGAAAGTTTTAACTGTCATTTTTACGTAAAAAATAGTATCTTTACGATAAAGTTTGCTCCTTTCGTGCAAGAAATTGAGTTTTGAGAAATTGTACGTAGAAATTCAAGTTGTTTTCCCGACAGGAAATTTGCCAACGACCGCGATTCCTGGACGATCCGAACGACGAAAACAGCAAAAACTTCTCGGTGGAGCCGGGAGAATTGGGCAGTATGATTTCGAAATGAATAGGGATTATCAAGGAATGTTTAGAATAAGAAATAACAAGCTACTTAAAAAAATCTAGCAGTTGTAAAAGTATGTTCCTGTCACTGTTACGGGCGATTTATCTTTGATAAATATAATATAGGATGTTCCAGTCGCTTATCTCGAGGAAAGAAAAAACAAAAACAATAAAATAGTAAATATCTATTTCGTGACCAGCCAGTTCTCTGAAAAAGCATCGCGCACTGAAAATATCAAAATCAAACAGCACAATTAAGAAGCAGTAACAGTAGCGACTTCCTGCAAAAACTTCGCGCAACCATAAAGATCCCGTGAAGATAATAATAGAATCGAGCGTTTTTTTTTCTCTCTGGGCTTCTTCAGCGCTAACGAGTGATAGGGAATCGCGAGGTGTCCGCGGAATCGGCGAACATGAGCCCGGTTGCGAGCCAGATCTTTATCGAATCGAACTGGGCAAAAATCGTCGAACTTTATGCGGTATGCCGACTTCGACCACGAAATTATTTTAGTTTCTTTTTTCCGGCGATGAAGATGTCGCGCGGATTATCTCGGATGCAGATCGGTTTTTTTTATGGGCCGTTTTTACGGCGAGTTAAGATCGCAATTAATCGCGTGCAGCAAACAGCGCAAGGTAAATTGGCAAAAAATTATCCGCGCGCTAACGTTTTTTTATTCGAAAAATGCTGGCGAATATGCGCGATTTTTTATTGCCGTTTTATGGTGGATAAGTTGTTTTTTTTTTATTTATCTCTCGTGGAAAATTCCTTATGAGTTGTTCAAGTATCTATAAAAAAATGGGATAAAAGTGTAGATATACAGGGTGTTTCACAACTTATCCGACAAATTTTAACCACATATGCACTGTTAGGAGAGAAGTTAATTTCCCAAAAAAAATGTAATAAAAGTCTTACAGAAATGGAGATAGTAAAATAATAATTTAACATTTCAATTACTTATACTTACAAGATGTTCAAAATTGTTCTTATTTACTGCAATGCAAGCTTGGGTGCTTGTTTTTTTTTTTGTTTTAATCATTGTTTTGATGCAACATTTGCTACAGTAAAGTATTAAGGCAAAATTATGAACGCAAAATGCAGTATTTATTTTTCAATTTTTTATTGAAACTCGGGTTTATAATTTTATTTCTGTAGGACTTTTATTACATTTTTTTGAGATTTCTCAAAGATAGAGAAGTTGATTTCTCAAAAAAAAGTAATAAAAGTCCTACAGAAATAAAATTATAAACCCAAGTTTCAATAAAAAATTGAAAAATAAATACTGCATTTTGCGTTCATAATTTTGCCTTAATACTTTACTGTAGCAAATGTTGCATCAAAACAATGATTAAAACAAAAAAAAAACAAGCACCCAAGCTTGCATTGCAGTAAATAAGAACAATTTTGAACATCTTGTAAGTATAAGTAATTGAAATGTTAAATTATTATTTTACTATCTCCATTTCTGTAAGACTTTTATTACATTTTTTTTGGGAAATTAACTTGCATATGTGGTTAAAATTTGTCGGATAAGTTGTGAAACACCCTGTATACAGCGAGGACCAAAAGTCCGTCGCCACCCCTTTAACTTTTGAATGGTAAGAGCTTTTGTCGCGCAATTTGGGGTGTTTATATTAGAGTAAAAATACTATTTTTTACCGAAAAATGACAGTTGAAACTTTCAAAATGACAGTTTGGCACCATTTTGAATCTTTTTTTCTTACGGAAAGGGGGGTCAAGTGACACCTTGTTTTAAAGGTAGTTTCATTCTTAAGTCAACTCCAAAATTTGAAAACATTTTAACAACGCGTATTCACGTGAAGACCAATTTAGATTGAACCCCCGAGCATATTGATACATTTAAAAATTAATTCTGAACGTACTATAAAATGTGTTAAATAATTGTTGCTATGGTTTCTTGGCTCTGACATTTATTTGTCAAATTTAAAGTTGATGAAATTGTCAGTTTTTTCGTTTAAAGGACGAGCCATTGTCACTTTCATCTACTTTAAATTTGGCAAATAAATGTCAGAGCCAAGAAACCATAGCAACAATTATTTAACACATTTTATAGTACGTTTAGAATTAATTTTTAAATGTATCAATAAGCCCTGAGGTTAAAACTAAATTGGTCTTCACGTGAATACACCTTATTAAAATGTTTTCAAATTTGGGGGTTGACGTAAGAATGAAATTACCTTTAAAACGAGGTGTCACTTGACCCCCCTTTCCATAAGAAAAAAAGATTCAAAATGGTGCCTTCTTGTCATTTTGAAAGTTTCAACTGTCATTTTTACGTAAAAAAATAGTATTTTTACTCCAATATAAACACCCCAAATTGCGCGACAAAAGCTCTTACTATTCAAAAGTTAAAGGGGGGGGCGACGGACTTTTGGTCATCACTATATTGCAGTGTTGTTAAGTAATAAATTACAATTAATTGAAAAAGTAATTGAATTACTTTTATTGTAATTGAGGCGGTAATTAATTACAAGATCCTTAATTGTAATTCATTTGTAATTCAATTACTCCTTTCGTTACAATTACAATTACATTTTACAATTACATTTCAATTACATTGGACACAAAAGTACTTATTTAATATTTTCAATACGTGGAAAGTTTAATTCCGATTGCAAATCCCTAAATAATTATTTAAAACTGACACCAAAGCAAAGTAATTGTGATTGTAATTGTAATTGTAACTTTAATTGTAATTGTAATTACATTTGCAAATTTTGTAATTGTAATTGCAATTAATTACAATTTGCCAAAAGTAATTGTAATTGTAATTAATTACATATTATAAAGTAATTTTAACATCACTGCTGTATTGTGATAAAGTTTGCTCCTTTCGTCCAAGAAATTCAGTTTTGAGAAATAGTACGTAGAAATTCAAGTTGTTTTCCCTACAGGAAATTTGCCAACGACCGCGATTCCTGGACGATCCGAACGACGAAAACAGCAAAAACTTCTCAGTGGAACCGGGAGAATTGGGCGATCAGTGGCTTCTCGCAGCCGTCGCCTCGCTGGCTCTAACCCCCAAATTCCTGGACCGAGTGGTGCCCCCCGATCAAGGATTCGACGCCGCCCACTCTTATTGCGGCGCTTTCAGGTAAATTTATTCAACGTATTCCTGCTATATTCCTAGGCTAGATCGACCGCAGATAGATCTCCTGGAAGAATGCTTGTGTGTCGTCGACTGCAGAGGCCCAACTGAAGAACTGACAGCGGGCTTTTATCTATCCGCTCGTGGACGATACCGTCGAATAAATCTAATTAAATAGCGACGGAGCCACAGTCGCATGCGTCTCTTCCGAGAAACAAACAAGGGATTATCATAAAGTATGATTCTTTTTTCTCATAACAAAATGCATGAAATTATCTAGATGGTTGCTCGCTTTAATTTGTTTAACAAGATCGCAAATTGCAAATAAAGATCCGGCGATAGCGAAATGTGACTGGCTAATAGTGCGGTCGAACGTTTGTGGGATTCGTTGAGGAGATGTCAACGAATTTATCACTGATTAAATACTCTTCTATTGTACTATATTTATTATTAAACAAATATTTACCAGTTACCTAATTGTCTCACTAAATTATACAGTGCATTTCTTTAATGTCCCCCCCCCGTTTTATTTTTTGAACGGATCAACTTAGAAAATTGAAATTTGGGATAATGAAACTAATGCATGATTACTATATTTTGGAGTAAAATTAACAGATGAAAATTTCAAGATGGCGACTGGGCGCCATATTGTGAAATAAATTTAAATGGAAAGGGGGGTCTTGTGACACATCATTTTGAAGCTCCTGACAAATACTCTACAACCCTGGAATATAAAGTCAATATCTGCACCTGCTACAAAATGGCGGACATTTAATAATTACCTGAATAAATCGATGTTTAACGTCATAATTTGAGGAACTAAGCTGAGTTCAGTTCAAAAAATGATCGTAATGGTTGCCTTGAAGTTCTTGATGTAAGAACATCCTAACCGAACATTTTCGAACATAGTAACGTCGATATTTCTACAAATATCTGTAATTATTTCTCGTATATCCAATATTGAAGCAGGTTCAGTTTTGTAGACTTTTTGCTTCAAATAGCCCTATAAAAATAAGTCTAAAGGTGTTAAATCTGGCGAGCGGCCTGGCCATTCCGTAGGACCTCGACGACCAATCCAACGACCATGGAAAATAGCATCCAAATAGTTCCTTACTTGTCTGGAGTAATGTGATGGTGCTCCATCTTGTTGGAGTACTATATCCATATCGAATTCATATCCATATCGGATATGAATAATATTTTGAAACACTAGGAATACCAAAAACTAAATGAGCATATTTTGACTAAACAATTAATGTTCGTTGTCGTACTTAAATTTTTTGGAATTTTTTTAACCAAAAATAACCTGTCAAACCTTATCGGTTTGTTGGGTTTGCTATTTGCCATAGAAAAACAAATATTTCTAGAAAAATTGATATTAATTTGTTTGTATTCAGGTAATTATTAAATGTTCCGCCATTTTGAAATGGGTGAAGATATTGACTTTATATTCCAGGGTTGTAGAGTATTTATCAGGAGCTTCAAAATGATGTATCACAAGACCCCCCTTTCCATTTAAATTTATTTCTCAATATAGCGCCCAGTTGCCATCTTGAAATTTTCATCTGTCAATTTTACTCCAAAATATAGTAATCATGCATTAGTTTTGTTATCCTAAATTTCAATTTTCTAAGTTGATCCGTTCAAAAAATAAAAGGCTGGGGGACATTAAAGAAATGCACTGTATTTTTATGTGAAGCATTATTGTTCTCACCAACAACCTCCACTAATTCCTCTATTATTTTTCTTATAAATTTTTACATAAACATCTCCTTTTCTCGGCTCATATTCTCTTCGAATACTGGATGGGAATATTCCGTTTAATTGTTTAAGACACCCTGTAGAGCTGGAGGTGCGATGTTATCGAGTTCATCAACTTCGATGCTCTAAACATTGTTATTATTAATATGGTTTACCATGGAAATAACGCGTTCTCTTCTGATCTAACGGATTCTTTTTATATCGCTGCTTTTTAATTATAAACGTACAAAAGAAACTTGAGGTCTGATAAAACGGTCGTTAAACTAGTCTGGAATGCGTTTCGTGATTTTTACGAGATATACCTACCCACGAGAATGAATCCCTACATATTTTTTTAAGTAAGTATGAATCGAAAGTTGTTTGTTCAAATCAAAATTTTTTTATCTAAATCTCAACTCTAACTATCGGAGTTAATTAGTAATTTCTTCTTTTCCGTGTATTTGTTAATACCTTCGTATATTAAGCGGTATTTACTGTCCGAGATTGCGTTGTAATGCTTTTATCGCGTGTTATAAAATTCCCGCCGTATTCTCTCGAACAATTACTCTAAAGTACCCGAGTGAATAAATAATTGCCAACACAAATCAAGCGAATTTATGTTACCTTATTAACGCCAACTTCAAAACGGTGAACATCTACCAGCAGAAGGGCACAAAATGAATAATTCAGTCCGTAAGTAAGCACACGTTTCCGAGATGAAAAAAACTTGATAATTGTGTAAAAGACTCTTCATTTCGTCGTTGATTGTTTCGATTAGTATTGTCGGCGAGGAGGAAATAGGAAGTGGAGGATATTCAAAAAGAGTTTCCTGTAAGATACGATTTTTTGGTGTCACGTCAATACATCGCGAGACAATTCATCGCCGACAATTTATCGATCGACAATTCATCGCCGACAATTTATCGCTCGACAATTCATCGCGCGACAATTCATCGCCGACAATTTATCGCTCGACAATTCATCGCCGACAATTTATCGCCGACAATTTATCGCTCGACAATTCATCGCCACGACAATTCATCGCGGCGTTTTTTCTTATTTTAGCAGAAAATCTTAATAACAGTTTATTATTTATTGATAATATCGCCCCTTAAAAGAATTATAACGTTCATAACCTTCAGAAAAATTAAGTAATTTTGAATATAAAATTCACCGAATTCCTCCGATTTCAATAAAGTTCATATTTAGATATTTAATTCCATTTCCAGAGAATATTAACAGAGAGGTTTTTGCTCTTGTTGATTCTGTAATCCCTATATCGAGAATTAATGGTTCAGCTGATTGGTTCTTTTTTCATATTTCCTGTAGATTACATATTGCTATTGGTCGAGCTATTACATATCTATTAAACACAGCCTGTAATTAGTCAAAATAATGTAAAAGTGGGGTAGAATTAATGCATTTATAAGATAGGTAATATTGAATTCTAAATAAGAACTTTATTGAAAAGTGTTTGATTCTCAAAATGACTCGGCTTTTCTCAAGTTTATGAAGGTTATAATCCTTTCAATGGGTGATATTATCAATGAATAAACTTGTATAAGATTTTCTGCTAAAATAAGAAAAAAAATTGTTGCGATGAATTGTCGTAGCGATGAATTGTCGGCGACGAATTGTCGGCGACGAATTGTCACGCGATCAATTGTCTCGCGATGAATTGACGTAGATTCGATTTTTTAATAGGAATACACTTCGATGTCACCGCGTAAATAAACAGGCACGCCGATGGACTTCTTCATTCCTCGTCTCTTTGTTCGTCGAATCTTGATGAGAAACAATTAGCCATTAAACTGTTACCTTCCAACTACGAGGAATTTTACTTTTGTTTCCTAGAATCGAGCTAGACGTAACGAAACGATTGGCTCGGTTCGAAACTCCGTTCGGTTCCTGCAATAAAAACCGAACGGTATCACTTTAACTGTCGCACGCAGAACTCCTGCAGTCCAATAAAGGGAATGCTTGGGAGTCTCGAAAATCCGATACTATTTTCAGCTGTATTAGTCGATTTCCTTGCAAGGCGATGAATTATTTCAGGTTACTTTCAATCAGTGATGTTAAAATTACTTTATAATATGTAATTAATTACAATTACAATTACTTTTGGCAAATTGTAATTAATTACAATTACAATTACAAAATTTGCGAATGTAATTACATTTACAATTAAAGTTACAATTACAATTAAAATTACAATCACAATTACTTTGCTTTGGTGTCAGTTTTAAACAATTATTTAGGGATTTGCAATCGAAATTAAACTTTCCACGTATTGAAAATATTAAATAAGACTTTTGTGTCCAATGTAATTGAAATGTAATTGTAAAATGTAATTGTAATTGTAACGAAAGGAGTAATTAAATTACAAATGAATTACAATTGAGGAGCTTGTAATTAATTACCGCCTCAATTACAATAAAAGTAATTCAATTACTTTTTCAATTACTTGTAATTAATTACTTAACAACACTGCTTTCAATCATTGAAGACGCTCGGAAAAAGGAATTTTATTCCGATTATGAATATACTGACCCAGAAAATTAGTTTCATCGATTTTTTTCAGCTGGGATTCACTTTCACCTGATTGTTACGCGAGTCTATTGTTTGGAATTTGCGGTTAAAAATTCATATTTCCGGGCGAGAATTGGGATCTCGCGTCTCACTTACGAATTTTTCCATTAGCCTGTTTAAGAACCCGCGGTGGTAAAAATTGATCCAGTCAATTTCTCGAAAGTCTTCGGGGGACGTCGCTCGAAATTACGAATTACGCTCTCCCTCCAGGCTTTTTCAATTTATTATTTTTTCCGCCACCTATAGGGTCGATTTATGGCGACTGTCGTATTTTATTTAATAAAAAATATGATGCGGTATATTTTTTTGTTGGGGACGAATTTGCGTTGGGGTGGAATTGCGTTCTGGTGGTTTTTTTTATATTAAATTCGCGGTATAAAATCGAACGCTAAGAATTTACAGCTCCGCAGAAATTGCATCATAAGTTATTCGTTATGAGAATAATCCAAGCAGTTTGATTAAACGAGCCTCGCGAAACAAAAACAACGGCTATTTACTTATAAATTAAGTCATAACGTCCGAATCCATCCGAAGCCATTTCTCATCCTCACCTAAGGGAACCATCTATCAATCAGATCAGATGTATCCACGGGTACCGCAAAAGTGCACAATCATTCAATAAATAATCTATTATAAGGTAAAAATTTGACCGTGAGAAAGGAAAACAACCATTCCGATCGCGATGAAATCGAAGCGTTTCGAATTTTTTGTTCAATCTAAATTTGTTTGTTTTTCCATCCAACGCACTATTACAAAAATTTATCATAACACTATAAACATAGGAACAGTGTTGTTAAGTAATTAATTACAAGTAATTGAAAAAGTAATTGGAATTACTTTTATTGTAATTGAGGCGGTAATTAATTACAAGCTCCTCAATTGTAATTCATTTGTAATTCAATTACTCCTTTCGTTACAATTACAATTACATTTTACAATTACATTTCAATTACATTGGACACAAAAGTACTTATTTAATATTTTCAATACGTGGAAAGTTTAATTCCGATTGCAAATCCCTAAATAATTATTTAAAACTGACACCAAAGCAAAGTAATTGTGATTGTAATTGTAATTGTAACTTTAATTGTAATTGTAATTACATTTGCAAATTTTGTAATTGTAATTGCAATTAATTACAATGTGCCAAAAGTAATTGTAATTGTAATTAATTACATATTATAAAGTAATTTTAACATCACTGCATAGTAATCATTTACTCGCAACTTTTGGTACCAACTATCCGCAATCTTACTTTTCTTTGTATTATTTTTTGCCTATTTAAATGGAGTTCCTGAAGGATAAATCTGGCACTAACGAAGGCACAGCTTAGGGCCATTCATTACTAATTAAAACCAGGCACTCGATGCCGAATGATTAGAATGCCGGCGTGGGTGGATCTAAGTATGAATATGGATTCGTTCATATAGATATTAAATTGTGGGCTCATTGTATTCTATCAGTAGGCGTTAAAATAATACCTAACGTAGCCATTAAACCGAGAGCCAATATTCGATACCCCAGAGTATAAATAAAATAACGATTCGTCCAAGTAGTTCATTAACGTCAATTAATAGGATATTCGAAAAACCCACGCGAACTCTATTTGGAATGCATCGATCCGTTTTTCACGCAATACTTTTCGATTTTTAGGTTTCGCTTTTGGCATTTCGGCGAATGGAGAGACATCATCGTCGACGACAGGCTTCCCACGCACAAAGGTCGATTGGTCCACTTGCATTCCTCGAACAGCTCCGAGTTTTGGGCCGCTCTTCTCGAGAAGGCCTACGCCAAGTAAACCAATCCCATCGAATACAAATCAAAATCTAATTGATCGCGTTGCAGATTCTACGGATCCTACGAGCAACTCCTGCACGGATCCACCACGCGCGCCCTGCAGGATTTAACCGGCGGCATCGTGCAAAGCTTCGGCTTGTCCCATCAGGATCGATTCCTCACGTTCCAAGTGCTCAACAGCGCTGTTCCTAGATCTAGTCTTCTAATCGCGACCATTACTCAAGTAAGCCGTCTTCATCGTTGGCTAGCAGGAGTTTTGAATGATTGTGTTGCAGGAGAAGGAGGGCAAGCGGCGTTTGAGGTTGCGCAACGGCCTGATAACTCAGCACGCTTACAGCGTGACCGGCCTGGCGAGAGTTAGAGGGATCAATGGTGAAGTGCCTTTAGTCAGGCTGCGAAATCCTTGGGCTAAAGGCGAATGGACGGGGCCTTGGAGCGAGCGCTCGTGGGAATGGGACGGTTTGTCGAATAGAGACAAAGAGCTGTTGAGTGTTAGAGTCACCAACGATGGGGAATTTTGGTACTACTTTTGGTTTCTTTCTTTAGTGCATTGGTTTTAATGGAGTGTGTTTTGTAGGATGTCTTTCGACGATTTCTCCAGGCACTTTACGCAGCTGGATTTGGTGCACATCGGTCCTGATGATTGGATGATGGAAGGGGCGTTGCATTCGAAGCAGCCTTGGAGGGCTGTGTTGGCTAGGAGAAGATGGAGAGCTGGCTACAACGCGGGAGGAGGTCCCACTTACACCGGTACTATTCCTTTTCCTCGACATTCATTGAATGCATCTTACGAGTTATCGGTTTTAGAAACTACATCGATGAATCCCCAGTTCCACGTGCAAATACCGCGAACCACGACGAACAAATGCCACGTGGTGGTGTCCATAACTCAGTATTATGAGACCAATTCGTCGGAATCGAAGAAGAAGAGGTTGCTTTACGCCATAGGCTTTGCCGTTTACGAAGTGCCGCATTCGATGCAACGACTGACCACGCATTTCGTTACAGAACAGGTATCGAGTTGATTATTTCGCGTATAGAATGTTCGAATAGACCTATTCAGTTTAACCTGTGCTGCGCGCGCATACTGTGGGCAATTAACTTGACATCTAAACGAACAAACGAACGCACCTCAGGTACAATACGGTTCTGACAACCAGACAACGACAACTTAAGACATACGCCAGACGTCATTTGTCATTATCCAATAATCCGTCGGATTTAATTTGTAATGGACGCGATGACTCGATACAAATTTGTTTTTACTGCCCAGAAAGGGGATTAGTCTTAATATTTACATACAAGTCAAGTCTAAGAAAGAGTAAGAGGGTTAGTACCATAGACCTATTAAGTATGCATTAAAATATTAAAATAAATTACCTATTAAAATGCATTTTGCTCGGCAAAAAAATAATAAATCACAATACCCTCCGCTGCACTCCTCAACCCTATTCTACCATAAGCTACCCTCCTCTACCCCAGCTACCTTGCATTACTGAAAACGTAACTCACGTGGTCTTTTGCTTTCTTACTATTGGCTAATGCTTTGTCCAATCTCTCATTGCCATATGCCCAAACTAGCTGCATCTCTCTCATTCATCGACAACATTACATCTTTGTCTAAACCGCGTCCATAGTTAATAGGTCTATGGTTAGTACAAAGTTTCCGAAAATGCTTTTTGATCGGTTTTCTATAAAATATATTTCAAAGAAATAATCCCATTGACCTATATAAAAAATTATAACCTTTATAAATAAATATACTAAATAATACAAAGAAATACTGTTAAAAAATAATACACACTGAACATAAACAAACATCAAACGGAAACAAGAAACAAAATAGGATTAAGATTGAAGATGGTCTCTTCTTTTTTATATTTAAAACAGTTTTCATCTAAGAATCATTCAATGTGTCTGTCAATCAGCAATGAAATAGGCCAAATATCTCATCTCTCTTGCACTTATGTTTGCGCAGATTTTAAATGGTTCCACAGATTGCGCGTGAAACATATTTGCTTCTTTTATTCTCTTATGTTGATCAAATAACTCCATCACTCTCTTTCGTAAACTGAATAGGTCTATTACCTTAATTTTAAGCATCTAATTAAGCTCATTAAAAATCGCCGATACAATTACAATAAAACCGAAATATTCCCGAAAACAAGGTTAATTACCTAAAGTTATTTTGAATTTGCTGTTTGTTGTAGAAACCTTTGGATGTAACGAATCACTCGGTGGCGAGGGAGGTTGTGACTTTCTTCACGTTACCCCCAGGGGATTATATCGTCGTGCCCCAAACGAATATTCCGAATTTAGACGGGAAATTTCTGTTGAGGATATTCACCGACGAACAGAGTAATATTTGGTAAATATTTATGATGTTTTTGTCGGGGTTTTCTGCGAATTAGTTAGTTGGAAATCGTATTAATGCGACAAACAGTTTGTTTTGGACGTTTAACGATCGTTAATTAAATGTTTAATGAGTTTATAAACCCGAGTAAATTATTGTGTTGTATAATGTTTTCAGGGAAGTTAATGAAGATAACATGATTATCAGAAATATAGCTTCAGAATTTATGGATGATTCAAATTCACCTTCTTCTGTAAGATATTTTATTTTAAAAACTAATTCAATTTATTCAACGATTATTTTTTTGTAGGTTGAAAGCAAAATGAGTCTAACAAAATTGTTATTAAAATTCCCTCCGGAGGTCGATGCTAGTCAATTACAAAAAATCTTGAAAACCCATTGGAAGTTGTATCTTTCAGAGAAACCGAGTCTAGAATTATGTAAAAGTCTGATTATGCTAAGAGATTTTAATATCAGCGGAAAAATTATCTTAATGGACATTCCGATCTTGATGCAAATGCTGCAATATTGGAGGGTACGTTTTAAAAATATCCATCGTTAGATTAAAAATTATAATTTTTTTTTCAACAGGTGGCCTTTCAGAAATTCGAAAAGAGCCACAACAGCGGCAAAACGTCGAGTTATCATTTACGAGGGTTGCTTTGGGAAGCTGGATGTACTGTTAGCAATAAAGTTTTGGAATGTCTAATACTTAGATTCACTAGAAATAGGATACTCACCGCTGAAAATTACATCATGGCTCTCGTACGACTGCACCTTTCTCATGGTAAGTATATTCTAAATGTTCATTTCATTTTGTTCTGTTTAAATTTTATAAATTTTATTCAACTTAAAGATACAGTGTGTCCACGGATGGGGTTGCCTATAAGAGAAAAATTTTTATTATTCATTTTACGACAAAAAGTCATTGTTTATAAAAATTTTTGCTTCTTTTAAAAATGAGAATAACACTGAAGAATCTTAGATTGGATTTACAGGGTGTTGCCAAATTAAGAAAACATGAAAATACCTCAAGAGAGAAGTACCATTATTTTTTATTTTACACAAAATTTTTATAAAAGAAAGTTGTTTATAATCTAAAATAAAGCCTGAACACAAATTTTCAAATTAAAATTCCAATTTTGTGTGTCCACGGATGGAGTTGACCAGAGGAGAAAATGATTATTAATTTTACGAAAAAAAAAACATTAAAAGAGAGATTAAGAGCATTTTTTTGTAAATAATAATGTAAGATAATAAATAAATTCTTTCTTTATGTAAGATAATAAAAATTCTTTCATTCTTTCTTGACATTTTTTCATGTTTCTTAATTTACTAACACCCTATACGTCTTATTTAATGTTTTGATATGTGAATTTCATTTTCTCGACAAGTTAATTTTTTTATAAAGAATGGCTTTTCGTCGTAAAATTAATAACCATTTTTCTTATCTGGTCAACTTTATCTAGGGACACACAAAATTTGAATTTAAGTTTGCAAATTTGTATTCAGGCTTTGTTTTAGATTATAAACAACTTTCTTTCATAAAAATTTTGTGCAAAATAAAAAATAATGGTACTTCCCTCTTGAGCTATTTTCATGTTTTCTTAATTTGACAACACCCTGTAGATCCAATCTAAGATTTTTCAGTGTTATTCTCATTTTTAAAAGAAGCAAAAATTTTTATAAACAATGACTTTTTGTCGTAAAATGAATAATAAAAATTTTTCTCCTATAGGCAACCCCATCCGTGGACACACTGTATATTTCTCATGATAAATTAATTTATGTTTTAGAGAGATATCACAATTTGGATACGAAAATAAAAACAAATCCATTGTCTCTTGAAGAAGTAAGTAAATTTGTATATTGTACAAAAATATATTCATTTACTTGATTTGATTATTTTTTTCAGATGATCTTGATGACTATTTATTCGTGAAATATTTTCCGCTTTTTTTCGGGCAATTACAAAACCAAAGAAAAATTGTACATATAATTTAGTAATGTTGTAGATTTTTGAAGCGAATATTATGCTATGTAAATTATTGTATAAACAAATTGTACCTATAAAAAAATTAATAATTTATTTATTAGTAACCGATATGCAATAACTGTGCAATGTGAAGTAAAAACGTATTTTTTTATTATGGTAATAAAATTGTAGATCAGTAACAAATATACAATAAACTGAAGAGGTTTTTTTTTGTTTTAAAGGATCCCACAGACCAACGCGAAACTTCCGCTGCCGCTGCGGCAGCGATTCCGCGAAAACGCAGCGAAAACGCAGCGAAAACGCAGCGAAAACGCTGCTTGCACTGTTTTTTCCGCTGCCGCTGCGGAATTTGTTACCTATGAAAATGGCAGTTGTCGAAAAATTAATCGAGTTTTTAAAAACGTCTCCAATTATTTACGATTTAAGTCATGAAGACCTATTAAAAATTATTAAAATAAATATCCTACTATTATTATTCTTGTCTATATGTTGCTAATCAACATACTCGTAATAACGTGGTTATTTTTATCTAATTTCTTCATCTTCAGCTAAACCAAGTAGCAGTAAAACTTCTTATTCAGACAAACTCATTGAATAAATAATTGTATGAATTGCAAATATACAGTGCATTTCTTTAATGTCCCCCCTTTTATTTTTTGAACGGATCAACTTAGAAAATTGAAATTCGGGATAATGAAACTAATGCATGATTACTATATTTTGAAGTAAAATTGACAGTTGAAAATTTCAAGATTGCGACTGGGCGCCATCTTGAAAAGTAAATTTAAATGGAAAGGGGGGTCTTGTGATACATCATTTTGAAGCTCCTGACAAATACTGTACAACCCTGGAATATAAAGTCAATATGTGCACCTGCTACAAAATGGCGGACATTTAATAATTACCTGAATACATCGACGTTTAACGTCATAATTTGAGGAAATAAGCTGAGTTCAGTTCAAAAAGTGCTCGTAATGGTTGCCTTGAACTTCTTGATACAAGAACAGCCTATCCGAACATTTTCGAACATAGTAACGTCGATATTTCTATAAATATCTGTAATTATTTCTCGTATATCCAATATTGAAGCAGGTTCAGTTTCGTACACTTTTTGCTTCAAATAGCCCCATAAAAAAAGTCTAAAGGTGTCAAATCTGGCAAGCGGGCTGGCCTTTCCGTAGGACCTCGACGACCAATCCAACGACCATGAAAAATAGCATCCAAATAGTTCCTTACTAGTCTGGAGTAATGTGGTGGTGCTCCATCTTGTTGGAGTATTATATCCATATCGAATCCATATCCATATCGGTACCTAACTACAATGAGAACTAAACAACCGAAAACTAAATAAAAATATTTTGAACACTAGGAAAACCAAAAACTAAATGAGAATATTTTGACTAAACAATTAATGTTCGTTGACGTACTAAAATTTTTTGGAATTTTTTTAACCAAAAATAACCTGTCAAACCTTATCGGTTTGTTGAGATTGCTATTTGGCATAGAAAAACAAATATTTCTAGAAAAATTGATATTAATTTGTTTGTATTCAGGTATTTATTACATGATCCGCCATTTTGTAATGGGTGCAGATATTGACTTTATATTCCAGGATTATACAGTATTTGTCAGGAGCTTCAAAATGATGTGTCACAAGACCCCCCTTTCCATTTAAATTTATTAAATAAATTTAAATTTTCATGTGTCAATTTTACTCCAAAATATAGTAATTATGCATTAGTTTTGTTATCCTATATAAATTTCAATTTTCTAAGTTGATCCGTTCAAAAAATAAAAGGGGGACATTAAAGAATATGTCACTAAAAATCGCTAACTAACAATCGGAAAATTTCGTAGCAGTGCGAATAGTACCAATCCGTTGCCGCAACGCTGGCGGAATTCCCGCCGCGAAAGTTCCGCGGCGGAAAAGTTTCGCGTTGGTCTGTGGGATCCTTAAAAGTATATAACAACGAAATACCAACTGTTTATATCAACATTTATTTACAACAAATTATATATGCGTTATTTCCGTAATACGTTCAGTCTTCGGAGGCGCCAAAGTATTCCTCAATTTCCTCCAAAACAGCAACTGCTTATGTTCATCAGCATGCCACTCCAAATAGATCCTCGTCTTCAGCAGATACCTCAACATCGGCGTCATGTGCCTCTTATTCACCGGCCCCAATTTGATAACGACCAGCGCGTCGTCCACGTACTCCCCGTAGTCCTTCTCGAAGAACAGCCGGTGATGCTCGGCGATGCTGCTCTCCCATCGGCACCACTGCGACTTGGCGTAGTTGTCGCTGATCACCAGCAGCGTCTTCCGGCTCCTCGCGATGCACTTCAGCACGCAGTCGGAGATGAACTTGCCGGCGCGGAAGTCCCTCTCGTAGACGCAGAGCTTCAGGAAGGGCTCGTGGTTTTCGAGCATCGCCACCATCCTGACGACGAAGTTGCGATCTTCGGCGCTGTAGGAAACGAACGCGTCGTATTCGTATTTGTACTCAGGGCAATTCGGTTTCTTCGTGGTTAGTTTGCCTCGCCTGCTGAGGTGCAACCTGGCCAGGAACATCCAGTATTTGATGTGCCACCTGTAGTAGAAGCACAAGAATCCTAAACATAAAAATAATAGCACTAACAAAAATAGTGGTAACAGTACGATGATGCGATCGTCTATATCACAGTTTATCGAGCCTTCATCTGCAGTGTTGATAAAGTCTACGAAATCCACGATAACGTGGTTTGTTGTTGTGTAAGGTGTTAAACAATAAGCGTTAGAAGATTTCAGGATTTTTAAGATATTCTCTTCGCTGTGCTCCAAAGAATAGTCTTTGAATTTCTTATAAGTATTGCAATCGCAGTTTAGCGAATTATACGCTAAACTCAGCTTTGTTAGATCCGTGAAATCCTCTAACATAGCAGGTGTGAAATGGGTGAGTTTGTTGTGATCTAAGATGAGCACTTCGAGTCTTTCGTTATATTCGAAAATCATGCTATGCCACGTTTTGAACAAATTATAAGACAAGTCCATGTATCGCAAATCGCGATTGTAGAAAAATTGCTCGGGGTCGATGCTCGTTAAAAAGTTTCTTTCTAAACTAAGAACTTTCAGCGATTTCAGCCTCTTGAAAGGATTCCCGCTTTTCGACAGATAATTTATGTTGTTACCTCCGAGCAGTAGAGTTTCTAGATTTTCGAGACCGACGAATAGATTTTCCGAAATGCAATCCGGATTGTTAAGCGTGAAGAAGTTATTTTCCAAATGCAAAGACGTCAGTTTTTTCAAACCAGAAAACGTCATATCTTCGATGTGAAAAATGGTGCAGTTGCTCAGTATTAAATCCTTCAAATTCGACAATCCCCTGAAGCTACCGCGAAAAATGTGCGCCAAGTTGTTCGAGTTCAAATTCAAAAACTCCAAGTTTTCCATATCGGAAAAAACCCCAACGGGCATTTCGAAATACGACGCCGTGGTGCTGGTGACGGAGTTCCGTTGAAGATCCAATTTTTTCAAGTTCCTCAGCAAGGCTCCCTTCGGTAAAGACGGGAGAACGTTGTCGGAGAGAATCAGGTACTCCAGATACGGCAAATTCTCGAACGCATCATCCGCAATATCCGATATCAAATCCCCTTTCAAGTCCAGCACTCGCAGATTGGGCATCAACGGAAACACGCCCGACGGTATAACTTCGAACTGGTTCTTGGCCAGATTCAAATGGGTTATGCTCGACGCCGCGACGGCGCCCAATAGTTGCTTAGGCACTCGCGCTCTAAATCCCGCTGAATTCAAATTGAGCAGTTTCAGCGGGATTTCGTTATCTACCATCGTCCTCAACACTCTGCTGATAGTTGTGGCGTTGAAAATGTTCTCGCCCAAGCGCAGCGCCTGCAAATTCCTCAACGGAAGCAACGCTTTGGGATGAATGTAAGCCAATCGACACAACACCAAATCCAGCTCCTCCAATCGCGAATACTGCATCGGCGAAAAATCCTCCTCTTCTATCCTCATAAATTTATTCTCTGTTAGCGAGAGTTTCAGTAACGTAGGTAGTATGATTGGGGATAAAGGTAACGCGATGTCGTATAGGCGAGTAAACCCGTTTTTCATCAGAAACAGCTGCTTCAAATTGTTCAATCCCTTGAAAGTCTGCGAATGCAACGTCTTCAAGTTGGGATTGAAGCTTATCGAGAGGTTCTCCAATTTGGTGAAGTTCTCGAAAATCCCCGGCGATATTTCCGTCAAATTGTAGTTTCCCTCCAGCTTTAGATCGATCAAAAAGTCCAAATGGCTCAAATCGCCGTAATCTATGCGCGATATGTGAGTGCTCACGATGCTCAGCGCGCTCGTCGTGATGTTTATTCGAATCGGTAAATCATCGCAGGAGGATCTTCCGAAGCACAACGTGGACACTTCGGGGACTTCCCTGCATATGCAGCCGGTTTCGTCCTCGCCCAAAAACACGCTGGCCGGCTGGAAGACGTCTTCGTTGTATTTCGGCTTCTCGAAGTAGTCATCGTCGGGATTGAACTGGCGCGAACATTGCAGATTCAAAAAAAGGTGTAATATTAGAGGTGTTATTGACAAGGGCCGCATAATGTTCGATCACATTGATGTCCATTTCCTGCAACATAAAAAAATCGTGCAATTTGAAATGATGCAAAAGAAAAGAATTTAATTACGTTTGAATCATAGACCTATTAAGTATGGACGCGGTACAATCGGTATTTTGAGGTTATTCAGCGTTCCCAATGATAGAGAGAGAGGTCCGTGAGAGATGGAGCTAGTTTGGGCTAAAAGTAGGCGGGACCAAAAAAATATAAAATATATAAAGGGTGTGTGGAAAAAGGCGATTAATCTGTTAAATTATTTATACGCTTAATATTTAAATATTGTTTTTATCTTGGTATCCACTCGGACAGAAGAATGACCAGGAACAAACATATTTTTTACAAGAGAAATCAGCTAGGTCTTAAATTGCGAAATTTGTACTGGCTAATAGGTAGTAGGTTCCAAATAACAATACAAAATAAGAACTGTATTTGCAAATGCGTGGGAATTTAGGCTCAGCTGAAAAATGCATTTTGCTCGGTAAAAAAATAATAAATCCTCAACCATATTCTACCATAAGCTACCCTCCTCTACCCCAGCTACCTTGCATTTCTGAAAACGTAATTCACGTGGTCTTTTGCTTTCTTACTATTGGCTAATGCATTGTCCAATCTCTCATTGCCATATGCCCAAACTAGCTGCATCTCTCTCATTCATCGACAACACTACCTCTTTGTCTAAACCGCGTCCATAGTTAATAGGTCTATGGTTTGAATGTTTGTATCAAATTAGTAGGAATATTTCCAATTGCGTGTTTTATTTCCTGTTTAATTGGAAATGTGCTATTTGAAAAACCCCCGGAAGAAATGTATTCGTGTGTTATTTTAGCTCGAAATTTCCGTAGTAATGAAGCGCAAAACATGCCTGAATAGAAGTAATAAGTATGTTATAATGATGCATGATTCATAGGGAATATCTCCAGCGTTTTCTCAAATACGTATATGCTTCGTTATTATTGAATACGAATAGATAAGGTGCATTTAAATGAGCGTCAAGTAGAAAGTCTACCCAATTTGGTATTTTTTGATATTGCAACTGGTTGGCCTAGTTTGTTTTAACAAGTTATTCGTAAAATGAACTAATTGGGCTATTAATTCTTACGCAGTTTGATAAACATACCGCAAGTGCGGGCGACGGATGTTATTTTTTTATCTAGTTGTAAACCTACCTTCTTTTTTATCAGTAATCTCCTGATGATGTAAAACGTAGTTATTCTTTATTATAGGCCGTAAAGAATTATATATTTTTTGGTAAATAATTAATATCTACGCACCTGGTGCACTCTTTTATTTACTTAAATCTGTTTTTGGTATGCCTTTCACTTGGATATTCCACAAGAAAGTGAAACGAAATTTATGCTCAATTCTGCAGGGTAGATGACAGTGATGTTAAAATTACTTTATAATATGTAATTAATTACAATTACAATTAAAGTTACAATTACAATTAAAATTACAATCACAATTACTTTGCTTTGGTGTCAGTTTTAAATAATTATTTAGGGATTTGCAATCGGAATTAAACTTTCCACGTATTGAAAATATTAAATAAGTACTTTTGTGTCCAATGTAATTGAAATGTAATTGTAATTGTAACGAAAGGAGTAATTGAATTACAAATGAATTACAATTAAGGATCTTGTAATTAATTACCGCCTCAATTACAATAAAAGTAATTCAATTACTTTTTCAATTACTTGTAATTAATTACTTAACAACACTGGTAGATGCTGATAGTCAATACAAAAATTATAACATAATATTTAACCACCTCAAATAAACTTGGTAGTTTTATAGAATTTTAATCGATTTTCACAGTGATTTATTGGAAAAAATAATACCATAAATAACGTTCTCACCGAAAGTGGTATTATTTCAATGAAACTTTATTTATTTGCTTTCTATAATTGAATATGATACTACTTTCTATTTAAATCTATTAAGGTAGATCAGAGTTTAATCAATATGAAATTAACTTGTTCGTATCCAATTATTCTATTAATAAAATTTTTCAAAGAATTTTCTAAGAAATCGCCTCGTTTAAAAAACTGTATGAAATACAGTACTGATCGTTTATTCCGTTCTTTGTATTATAATAATGTGGTTACGCGAGGAGCACCTCCTACGTACGAAGGAAAAATTGTAAATTACGTGAGTAAAATTTTTATAAATAAAACAGTAATAATTTGAAAGCATATACAATCACCGGGTAGATAAAACATCTTGCGGTTAGGAGAGACAACCAAATATTTTGCACGAGTTTAGTCATTGGAATGTTTCCATTGTCAATGGGTCATCCAAATATAACGACAAATATCTATAAACTGTCAAAATATTTTTTGTGTACACCTAATTCTGTACATGTTGAGCGTATTTCGTAAGTATCAGAGCATTATAGAGATTCTCCGGATCTACGCAAACAACGTTAAGTAACTAACATTGGTAAAAGTAAATAGAAAAATTCTATTAGCACGTTTTGTAAAATGTGTATGTTGTGAAAATATTAAATAATGCGAATTCTCGGAAAACTGTGATTTGATATATCCATTTTTTGGCAATTTTTATGTAATTTTTGATCAAATTTTCGATTCCTATAAGCATTTAAACGACTATTTTTACCAAATCAAGCGCAACTGTGATTGCGTTGAGATATTTCAAAACCATATCAAAGGCGATACGAATACATTACACGGTATAAAGAACAATGTACCGAAAACAAAAATTAGTTTTGTACGATTTAATACAATGTCAATACAATTTATCAATTACAAATTAACTAGACGTCTTAAAAATTCGAGAAAGATTATTTACAATTGAATTTTGTTTATTATAATTGTAAGGTATTCAGTCAAATATATTAAAATGTATATTTTCAAAATGTATTCCCAATATGAATAGTTGAATTCCAAATAGTAAGTGTTACTAGGTATTAAGCTATTTACATAAATGATTATTACAACGTGGTAAATATTCATATACAGTGAAGCAATCCATTCGAGCGTTTATTAGAAAATATATTTGAAACGTCTGCACCTATTTCTATGAAACTTTTCCCGGCATTTTCTAAAGAAAATCGAAAAAAAAAACCGATGAATGAGGATGTTTGAACATTGCAATAGAATTTTCAGAATAACTATTAGTAATAAATCATAATCCGCACACGCATATCCGCCCAACAATTTCTGTCGAAATACATAGTTCCTCTTTCCGATTATTTATTCCAAAAAAGCCTGCTCAAGGAAACCTGCAGTAAACATAGAACAATGAATTTCTTAACGTTAATTCCATTTTAACAATAGTTTATTACCCAATACCGCACCAAGTAATTTTATAATCTTTTTATCCATTTTTTTATCATTCATCAAAGCTAAACAGGTTCAAAATAATTACATACTTTGTTTCGTTTATTTAGAAAATTAATAATTATATACCTAGCTTGTTGATTAAATTTGGAAAATTTAACATATAATTAGAAAAGCAAAGGATTAAATTTTTCTCCAGACTTTTCTCCACTACTCTGTTTTACTATTCTATTTTTTTATGAACAAATTTCCTGTTACCTACTTATTTTTTCTATAAAAAAAATATAACTTTTAAGAACTCCTTACCTTACGATACCTTCACATATTTTCAATACAAAACAACATCCATTGCACCGAAACTGACATCACGACAAATTAAAATCACCGCAAGAGCCATCAATTTACGATTCCAACAACCAGCCGGAACAAAATATCGCATAAACACAGTATTTTCCGGATAACGAGCAGTTACTCAAAGCGATATCCTCACAAGGACGATCGGAATCGCTATTAAATTTTGCGCTAATAAAGCCGGCGCGATGCAGGACTCGCGATATCGCCAGCGACACCTCTACCTCCGCCGATTAACAATGCAAAATAGATATTTCGGTTTTGGATTTCACTCGATGCGATCGTTTACTACCCAGCATGCATATCCTACTCATGGTGAGACTTCCTTCGGTCCTTCACCAGAACCAGAACGGTGAGGTAAGTCAATTCGCCGACGTGATGGGCATCGATATTGAGAAATTTATTATTCGCAGAGGCTTGGTCAGAGACTGGGCCCCTCGGGCGGGCTTTTAGTGAGTAACTGCAGGGTGGCACATTAGTATGGAAAAGCTCAATATATTTGCTATTATAGAAGATATCAAAAAAACTTCATTACAAAAGTTGTAGATCTTTTTAAGCTGCATATTTTAAAATTAGTTACATTTATACAGAGTGTGCCGTTTTTCCGTAATAGATCAAACTTATACTTTTTTAAATGGAACACCCTGTTTTTTATTTAAAAATTGAATGTAGTTCGTTTTCAGCTTTCCAAAAATATCATTTTGTATAACGTTATACTGAGTTGTTTAAAAGTTATGACCACCTTTCCACGAAAATCGTATTAAGTTTACCACTCGGTAGAAACTAAATGGATTGAATTGAAAATAAATTTTAGGTTTCACAACATTGCAAATATCCTGAAAATGTACAAAATGAATATTTTTTGTTAATTCTAATCATACTGCTTACAGGGTGGACAGGTTAGTACAAACGCAAAAGTAACATTTTCTCTGTTAATTTAAATGGATCACCCTATATTTTATATCGTTAACAGGAAGTATTTTTGAAGCACTTTCATTCTTATTAACCATTCCCTATACCTAAAGTTAACACTATTAGAGATATTCCAATTAAAAAAAAACTAGAACGGAAAATTGAAGAAAAAAAATTAAGGTTTCTTTTTGATCGAAGTACACTTTACAGAAAGAAGTAAGAAACGTCAATTAAATACTATCTGGTATTACCTATTTATCGGTATTGCCTCCACAATTTGTAAAAATTAGAATACAAAATGATTTTTTCTATTGAACAATTATTTATGGTTATGATTTGGGTATTGGGAGAAAGTTTAGAGAATTTGTTAGCTTGCCAAAAGGATTTGCCATGAGAGATATCATGGAGGAATACAACCTAACAAAAAATCCATTGAAAAATGTCTAGATTGTCTCAATCGTACGGCTTCCGCGGCATACGAAAAGCCAGAATGTAAAAAAACTATTCTAAATGAACAAAATGGACCAAATTATTATTAATAATTGGTATTAGCAATTGTTATAAGTCGCAATAGACACAATAAAGTTATTAGTACCTACACGATTAGCGATTAGTATCTGGTGATAGTCCAATTAAAGAATATTAAAATATCTCGAAAAATATCAAATTTAGGTACAGGGAAGGTTTATTAGGTATAGACAATTTTTACCAGATAGTGTTTAATTGACATTTCTTAATTCTTTCATTAATGTGAACTTCGGTCATTATAAAAAAAGAAAGCTTAATTTTTTGTTCTTTAATTTTAAGTTCTAATTTTTTTTAATTGAAATATCTCGAAAAGTGTTAACTTTAGGTATAGGGAATGGTTAATAAGAATGAAAGTGCTTCAAAAATACTTCCTGTTAACGATATAAAATATAGGGTGATCCATTTAAATTAACAGAGAAAATGTTACTTTTGCGTTTGTATCCACCCTGTAAGCAGTATGATTAAAATTAACAAAAAATATTCATTTTGTACATTTTCAGGATATTTGCAATGTTGTGAAACCTGAAATTTATTTTTAATTCAATACATTTAGTTTCTACATAGTGGTAAACTTAGTACGATTTTCGTGGAAAAGTGGTCATAACTTTTAAATAACTCAGTATAACGTTATACAAAATTATATTTTTGGAAAGCTGAAAACGAGCTAAATTCAATTTTTAAATAAAAAACCGGGTGTACCATTTAAAAAAGTGTAAGTTTGATCTACTACGGAAAAACGGGACATTCTGTATGAATGTAACTAATTTTAAAATATGCAGCTTAAAAAGATCTACAACTTTTGTAATGAAGTTTTTTTGATATCTTCTATAATAACAGATATATTGAGCTTTTCCATACAAATGTGCCACCCTGTGTATTGGGAGAAATTGTGGAATTAATTGTCGCAATCGATTTAATGGATAATAAATAAAAAACGTGCATTTATAAGTTCAAATACATTTATTTAGTAGTACCTTTTGGATTATTCATTCAAACAATCATCGATTAAGCATTTGGTTTTGATTATTTTTGAGTAATATTTGGCGGAATCCTTAGGTATCCTCGGGAGAGCCGGGTCGGTGCGATTCACGTAATAGAGTCCCGATTTACCTCTAAAATAGAAATTTTTGTACACATAATGTAATTAGGAAATTAAATAATATTTACATGTATCCCAAAGTCCACTCGAAGTTGTCCATTATTGTCCAAAGCGTGTAAGCTGTAACGTTCACGTCAGCTTCGTGAATGGCGTCTAACATGTGACTCATGTAATTCTACGAGAAAAAATGGCAATAAAATAATTTTACTTTTAAAATAACTTACTCTTAAAAAGTCGATTCTAGTTTGATCTTTGAGAATACCAGTTTTGTCTGATACACCGTTTTCGGTAATGACAATTTCGATGTTGCCGTAGGTTTTCCTCATCCATCTAAGAAGTTTTCCAAAGCCCCATGGAACTATCTAAAATATCATTTTAATTAATAGTAATAGCTATTTTAGGAGTATTGAGAATTACTCTGAACCAATCGATAGCGGCTGGTTTCCAAATATCTTCACTCTTCTGGTAGATATCGACTTTGGAATCATCATCCCAGCTAACAGTGAGGATTTCTTGAGTTCTAGCTTTAACCATGTAAGTCGTGTAGTGGTTTAAAGCAAAGAAATCGTAAGTTCCTGCAATAATACAAGAAGTGATTTTAAGCGTCAACATAATAGGTTGAATCCTGCCTTTTAATAATTTTTGTTCTTCTTCGGTAAATGCTGGTAAACGAGATTCGTTGAAGCCCTGTTTGCGACTCAAATCAGCGACGTTTTTGATCATTACATCCGGCCAATTTCCGTTTACTACCGGATTTCCATACATTCCATGCTAAAATTTCAAACGAATAAGGCATACACTTTGTATTGGGAATTTTGGTAGCATACAGGGCTTTTCACGGTAACCGTCCATTAGAAGTATCTCAATAATGAAAAGACCTAAAAATCTGAAATTTTGGTTATAGTATTTTTTGGTTAATTTGAATTGATCTAAAATATTTTCATTTTGATTACACTTCCGGTTATACCGGAAGTTGACACCGACTTCGTTATTTTATATGGAAAGTGCCAGTTTTAACTTCATTTTTGAATTCTATGGCCTTTTTTAACTAGACTTTGATAATAACACCATATGCCAAAAATGCACCATTTTTAAGATATTACAATTTTTTTGATATTTTTTGGAAAAACAGTCAAATGTATTTCCTGTGATATCTCTGTTTATAATGCAGCTAGAAGCTTGAAATTGAGTATCGATGATGTCAAGACATACTACTAAATGAAACTAAACTGTATTTTCAGAATCCATGTACAGGACGTTTAAAATTGTCTGACAAACTTTGCCAAATTAAAGTGGTCATAAATTTGTTATTTCAAATGGATCACCCTGTATTTTTTAACAGTGACCAATGTAGTTTTTTAAGCCCTTTCGATCCATGTGTGTATTCCCTATACCCAAATCCAGTAGTTTTTGAAATAATCGAAGTTTTATTAAATAAGGTATCTATTTTCTTATGGTTTATGATTTATTGTTTACTTATTGTTATGTATTTACTGTTCACATATTTTTTTAAATTTTAAATAAATAAATATTCATTTCAAAGCCTTCTAACAGATAATTAAATTTATTTATCAATTATTAAATCGCAGAAATTAGTCTATTTTTTTGTTTAAATAACTCGTGAAAGGTGAAACATAGAAATAGGACTTATTGTACAAAGTTACCTTAAAAAAGTCTGTAGATTTTAAAAATATGAAAATATACAGGGTGTTCCATTTGAAGAAATAAAGAAATTTGATATTTTTGAATCTTAACTGTTCGTACTTTTTATACACACCCTGTATGCAATAGAGAGTATTTTTAAAAAAATACTAATACTAAAAATACTATAACCAAAATTTCAGATTCTTAAGTCTTTTCATTATTGAGATACTTCTAATGGACGGTTACCGTGAAAAGCCCTGTATAAAGGATCTATTAACTTACAACAAACTGGAGCTTAGTATCAGAAGCGATCGCATCCTCTTTGCTGTTAGTAGACGGTTCGTACCAATCAGAATCGATCACCAAGGTGTTTTTAGCTAAATTTAAAGACACATTTCAATAATTCTCACTCAATACATTCCATTCATTGCAATAACCTCTACTTACCACCATAAACCTTCCTGTATTTCTCGTCCCATATCCTCCAAGCTTTAGCGTGAGCTAGTAGAACGTTTTTGGCGCAAATGTAATCTTTAATACCGTTGGAAACAATACCGGGAGCGTAAGCTCCGATGCCATAACCTCCATGGCAAATCTGCTTCGGCTCGTTGATGGTGATCCAACTGTCTGCATATTTCCCGAAGAGCTTGTAGCAAAGCTCTGCGTAATCAGCGAACCAGTTTATGATGTCCGGATTTAGCCAACCTGGAAGACAACAGGAATCTTAAATGTGTCTATACTTCATCCATCCAAGCAATGGAGTAACTAAAACAAGTTTAGACGCTGGATCAACGCGTGATCATCAGTGATTGGTCAGCGTAAGGAGGCTCTTTTATTTTGCCCAATAGATGCGAATGTGCTTGATGATCACGCGTCTAACCTTGTTTTGGTTACTCCGTTGGTTCGATGGATGAAGTATATAGATTAATATTAGGGAAATAACATTGCACCTCCTTTGGAGTGTAACGCTGAAGGTAAATCCCAATGGTAGATTGTAACCATGGTTTTGATCCCTTTAGCTTCTAATGCTTCGAAAACCTTTATGTAGTAATCGACTCCTAGCTGGTTGATGTTATCGGTGGTTCCGTCGGGTAAAATTCTGGCCCAGGAAAGTGATAATCTAAACAAAATTTATTTGCTGTATACACTGTTGGAAAATTATTCGCGCATAATAGGGAAATCAATGTTAAATTCTTAGCCTGCTGAAATTCAGTCTACCAGTGTACATTTCAATAGAACTTCGCGATTAATTCTAATAAATTTAATTGTTCTACTGGACTTCACACCGCGATTTGGTTCGGTTAGATTAAAAATCAAATAATTTCGACGGTTTCGACACTTCGACAGTATCAAAACGGGTTCGGATGAGCGAACGTCGAGTCGATTAAAAAGAAATGAGATTTTTTAAACGATAATTTATTGAAAAAATATCACTAATATTAAAATAGAATTATGTAGCTAGATATGTCTTTTTGCCACAATGGCTTGAAAAAGAAAGTTAGAAATTCTAAGAAAATAATAAAAAGGAAACTCCAAAAATAAACTTAAAGATTATTTTAAAACAGAAAATAAAAGAACTCTAAAAAATAGTCCACCGCTTTCTGCTAAACAATAGCCAAACCTGTCATACAGATGTCATCCCATATTACTGAGCTGAGGTATAATTCTAGCAGAAAATTGAATTATTTTTTTCCTTATTTCAACAAGATTTGTTGCTCTTTCAAAACTGTACCTACCGATACACACATTTTTTGAAATATCCCCAAAAAACCTATTAAATGTAGTTTCTAAATAATTTTGTACCTCATACCTAACACAAATAACTTTGTACCTCTACAAATCGCGGCGTGCGGTCCAGTAGAACAATTAAATTTATTAGAATTGATCGCGACGTTCTATTGAAATGTATACTGGTAGACTGGATTTCAGCCGGCTAAGAATTTAACATTGATTTCCCTATTATGCGAAATTAAATTTCCAACGGTGTAGAAACAAAGATCTTCTTCTACCCAGCATCTTGAAGAGAATGATTTACCAGAAGAGTTTACCTATAATAATCGACTCCGACCTCTTCCATGCAGCGAATATCCTCTTTGTAAAGGTGGTAGGAATCAACAGCGATGTCTCCGTTTGAGCCGTCGAAAGCTCTGCTCGGGGTTTCGTGGAAAAAATCGTCCCACATTTGGGGCCCTTTTCCGTCTATGTTCCAAGCCCCTTCGATTTGATAAGCGGCTGTGGCCACTCCGAATTTGAATCCCTTGGGGAAGGGACGGTTTGTTACATTGTAGTTTTTGTTATCATCATCGCCGTCAGCGATCCTGTAGAAATTTGGTATACGAGAGTAGTATAAATTATGTTAAAAAAAATTGATTCGATGCTTACCCCAAGACCACTAGGGTGGAGATAATTAGTAAACTGTACAGCCGCATTTGTATGATATGATGAAATAAAAAAAATGGTATTCAATGTCCTCTGTGGTTACATTTTATATACGAGTATACATATTTTATCGTTTCGAGTGGTTTTATCAATTTTAAATAAATTTTCACACTTCAAATTTTAACACTCTAGACAAAATATTCGATTAATGAAAAAATTTGCAAGTGTGATTTTAATTGAGGTTGTTCGCTTGCAGATGTAACTACATAAAAGTTATAAGGTTTCATTTGTTAATTAATTTTTTTAAATTAGATAAATAAACTGCTCCACAAAAGTTAAGGAAGTTCGCAAATTTTGCGATTATTTTAAAAGTTACAGACTTTTTGATCACCAAAATTTCAAATATGCGAAATTAAATGTTTTCTCTCATATCTGAGTGGATTTTTTGTCTCTACCTCTACAATTCATACTAAATTTGGCAATCAAAAAACCTGCAACTTTCTAATTAATCTCAATATTTGTGAACTTCCTTAACTTTTGTGGAGCAGTATATTAGATATAATCTTTTTCAATTTTTTCTACCTTTCCTTTATTAAATTCTATGTTATATCTAAATAAATTTGACTTTAGTATTATCTAAAAATAAATGTTATCTTAATGGAAATTGTTTTGCAGTTTTGCATCTAACTTATTATCAATTAAGCATTTATAAATACATATCTTATGTGAATGATTCTAACAATTCTCAAGTATTTTCAAAGATAAAATATTTGTAGTTCTAACAATGCAACAGATTAACGTATTTCGCATTAAAATTAATGATAACTGTAGTTATTTTTATGCAACAAAAAATAAAACAAAATATATTTCAATATGTACAATTTATAAATAAGTTAACAAATGCCTTCTACAACTAATGTACATACACAAAATCATGTTTAAAGGTTAATTAATCTTTTTTATAATGGAAGATTACATTTTATTAGATTACGTATATACAATTATTATATTTATTATTGAGTAACAGACAACAAAAACGCCACCAAAATTTCCAGCAATTCAAGCCAACTCCTTTCCACAAAAGCGCTACTCTCGATGGCACTTTTTAAATTAAGACAACGGCAAACAAGCATTAAGATTTATATTATAAAATGAAAAACAGAAATTTTCGAAATTTGGCTCATTCGGTTTAGTAAAATATAAAACCAACGTTGTTAAACGGAGAGCGACACAAAACTATTATACTGAGTAATATTTCTCTTTAAAATATCGGCGCAAAGTCCCAACACTCGCTCGAACCGGGCCCTATCCAATTTGACACATTTAAGGGGACCACTAGCCACAACAGTAGCAGCCCTCGGTCGATCCAGCAACAGCGCAATCTCTCCGAAATAATCACTGGGTCCTAACCGACCGACCTCGGTGGGTTCCTCTCCCTCAGCCCGGTTCTGTTTCACTATAGCAGTACCCTCAACGATTATGTAGAAATCATCACCGGCCTCCCCTTGACACACGATAGTTTCGTTGTCCTCGAAGCTAACCGGCTCCAAAGCATCAGCAACCGTCAACCGTTCCCATTTATCCAAGTTCTCGAGTATCGAAACGCGCGACAGGAACTCCTCGTACATCTTCCTCTTTCTTATAGTCGAGCCCATGAGGATCCTGCGATAGGAATCGCGGTCGATGCCCCACAGCTTGACGTCAGTCTTGGCCTTAACGGTGGCTGCTCGAGGAGTGCCGTATATCAGAGCTAATTCCCCGAAGCTGCCGCCTTCACCGATGGTTGTAACCAGTTCGTTGTTCACGTAGATCTCCACTTCGCCTTGATCGATCACGTAGAAGTTGTCTCCTTCGTCGCCTTGCTGGATGATCGACTCGCCCGGAAGACAGTTGACTGGAAACATGGCGTCGAAGATGTCGGATCGTTCGTTCTCGTCCAGATGGGAGAAGAGGACGTTTTTGGCGATGGCTTTTGAGAGGGCGGCCATGGTTTTGTAGTCTTTGGGCACGACTTTTTTCACGTAGCTGGTCGCGTCCTCCTCGGTGACGGGCTCCGCGGAGATGCCGCCCCGCCGGCGGGCGGGCTGCTGGGTGTGACTGGGCAACGGCGAGAGGTCTTCGGTGTCTTCGGGGGACATGATTTGCTGCTTGGCGTCGAGGGCTTGTTCGCGTTCGAGCTTCTGGAAGTGCTCCCTCAGGTAGACGATGGGGTTGGATGGGCGGTTCATGCAGAGTTGCACGATGCAATCTTTGAGGATTTGCGGTATGTTGTGAGCTTGTACGTACGCCTCACATTCTCGCAAGGCTTGTTCTTCGTCGACATTTGTTGTCATCTTTTTCCTTCGAACTAAAAATACAACTGCGTGCTATTTGCGGAACTGAAAAAATTGCAAATATTCGTCAGTATCGCCAGATAATTCTCAAAATAAAACGAAAACGTCCGAATGTCACATAGGCAAGTCTGACTATATTTGGGTTCACTAAGGCCCCGTTTGTACAAATGGGCGAGACGAGCGTGAATTTACGCTGGTATTTTTCCTTTGTTTTCATTGGTCGAGGTTTCGAGTCTTTGCTTTTTGATTGGTTAGAATTTATCATTACAATGAGCTTAAAAAAATCAATGAATTATACTTGTCACTGTCACTACTTCTGACAATGTCACAACTGTCAACTTCAAAAATTTAATTTTTCTATTATTAAAAGAAGAAAAAGTTGGGTTAAACTAATTTTATAAACATTTACCGTGTATAAAGTTTAATCAGGAGTTTAGCTAATAAAATTACGAACTCCTATAAAAATGTTGTGTTTTCGTAAAATCCCCATCACAACTAAAGGTAATGCAAAATATAATTCACGAAAAATCAATTATAATTTCCTAATTTCAGGCATTAGACTCTACACTACCGTCGTCAAAGAACAAATTGTAGCTAGTTCCACCAGCAGAAACAATTTAAGAAAAGATGTCCTGAATCACAGGCATGTTTATCCGGAATTTCTGCCTGATCCAAAAATCGAATTCCGGAATCGGTTGCGAGAGAAACTGGAACGAAACGACATGTTATCTAGGAGAACACATGTAAATATTCCAGAGTTTTACGTTGGTAAGTTGCGTCTTTACACAATTTAACAGGTATTAATATCAATTTTTAACAGGTTCAATATTGGCTGTAGAATCATCAGATCCACATTCACCCGGTAAACCCCATCGATTTGTCGGAATATGCATACAAAGAAAGCATTGCGGGCTAAGAGCACAGTTTATTTTAAGGAATACTATTGACCAACAGGTATTTAAATAATGCGTTTAATGATTACCACTATTAATTATACTATTTTTTAAGGGAATTGAAATTTTGTACGAAATGTATGATCCTTCCATACTAAAAGTGGAAGTTTTAAAACTAGAGAAACGCCTGGATGACGAATTATTGTATCTAAGAGATGCCCTTCCAGAGTATTGCACTTTCGATACTAATATGGAACCAGAAATTTTGCCAGAGGGTAAATAAAAAAGTAGAATTTAGTTTTTATATGTTCGTATCTAATTTCTATTAATGGCAGGTTCACCAGTTTCTATTAACGATATAAAAGTGAAACTAAAACCGAAGCCTTGGTTGGAGAGATGGGAGAGGAAAAACCTAAAAGGTCTCCAAGATTTAGAGTTGCCGGAAAGGTTTTACAAGAAAGCGGAGAAATTGGCTACTCCTTGGGAAAAATACGATTTAATGAAAGAATACATGTGAGTGGAAATTACTTACTTCTCTCTGTAATATTTACCAATATATTTTTTGCAGGCGAACAATACCAGAAGAAGAACAGCTAGAAATATTCAACGAAATCGATTCCAGGCTGGAGAAACTTCAAGTACAAAGCAAGAAGATGAAGAAACGAGTCTTCGTGAAGCCAACAAAGCTCGCTTAGACATATCAAACTCTAATAAAATAACTAAGAATGACTATAATTAAAAAATATATTCAAAAATTACAACATAGTTTCAATGTACACAGGCAAGTAAAATAAATACATAGGTAATAAATTTTTCTCAAAAAGTCTTTACTGTACAACTGAAAAACAAACTACTTTTTTCATAAATCTTCGGCAGTTAACATACAAATTATTTACACTGATAAAACGTATTTTTCAATGCTTATACTGAAAAAGAAAATTACAAGTTACAATTGTAACGATGAGTGTTTATGAAAAGCTCACCTTGAAATAAAGAGAAAATATCTCGACTAACTTCCATTATTATAACCAGACTTATTGGTATTACTACTCGAGGCATCTCCGTGCTGCAACGAACTAATGAATTGCTTTTGGAATTCGTCCTGGAACCCGCCAGAAAAATCGTTCTTAATGGAATGACTGCTAGCGCTCGTTTTCGTCATCGTAAAATTCTTATTGTACGCTATAACAGAAACCGGAGAACTCGACGAAGTATCAGTGTTTTTCACCGGAGACGAGGAAAGCTTCTGTAGCGCTTTCAAATTCTCCATCACCATCAGAATGTCCTTTTGACCGTCCCCGTCCGACTTCGGCACTAACGAATTCGACGCGTATAAGTGGTTATTCACTAAAAAAGAAATCGTTTTATGGGTCGATTCTGAGAACATCTGTAAGACCTATAAGCCAAAATCTGTAAGAGTTACAGGAAATGCAATTCTATCCTCATCTGTTACTTACAGATTCGTAAATATTTACAGGCTAGACATCAGTCACTGTAAGCGGTACAGAGTGTGGTAGAGAGCATTAAAAAGCATTATTCCTTGTGATTTGTTGTGTGAACCTTACGGGTGTTTAAGCTATACTGCTCCACAAAAGTTAAGGAAGTTCACAAATATTGGGATTAATTTAAAAGTTGCAGGTTTATTGATCATCAAATTTAGTATGAATTGTAAAGGTAGGGGGCAAAAAAATCCACTCAGATATGAGAGAAAACATTTTAATTTCGCATATTTGAAAATTCGGTGATCAAAAAGTTTGTAATTTTAAAATAATCGCGATATTTGCCAATTTCCTTAACTTTTGTGGAGCAGTTTATTTAAAGTAAAAGCGTGTTTTTTTACTATGTTTTTTTACTGTTTTTTACCCATAACCTACAAATGAATTTATTTGCGGGTGTTCTGTTAGAGAAATATGAAAACAAGTGAGATTTTTGTAGTTTTAAATGGGTATCTACTTAAATAAATACCAATAATTATAATAATAAAAATAATTACATTTTTTAGAAATTATATGATAAATTGAAAGAAGGCTAAATCCATTTGACCTCACAGAGAGGCATTTTAAACAAATATTTTGTTTATAAAATTTAAATAAAATTCTAGTTGATATGGAGACGTATTTTTCCTTTTCCTCTACCTTGTGCTCAACTTAAAATACGTTATACATATCCATAAGGTCGGCGTCGGTACTCAGCTTTTAAACTTTTAATTGTTATGAGATTATAATTTTGACGTTATAAACATGAGTGAAGTTGAAACCTATAAGGTAAAGATCTGTAACTTGACTTTTACAGATTTGGTTCCAGAATAGCAAATATTACAAATCTGTAAAGTTTCAAGTTACAGGCACTATTTCTTACAGATTCTGTAGCTTATAGGTAAATTCTCAGAATCGACCCATTAAATGACATTCACGCTCGCTAGGCAATGACGTCATTTTTAGACGACGTCATTAATTTCCACGCAGTTCAACATTTCCCTAGTGTCAATGTTAATTCTCCCATTTGACTAGGGGAATTTAACGATGCGTAGTTGAAAGTCGAAGGCGATGTTGTCATGCATTTAGTCTCAACATTCGCAATATTTAGCGGCGCTTTGTAGTTGACACTTTGACAGGTTATGACAACAATTTGTTGTTTTTGCGCAATTTTCCTGTATTTTTTCAAGTTTGCGAGTAGGTTTTGTGTTTTTCGTTCGTTTTAGATACTTTTTCGTGCGATTTATGTACATTTATCGACAGTTTCTCCCGCGATTTTCGGTGTTTTTTAACCTATTTTGAGAGAGAACGGGACGATGTAGGCCCTTTTTCCCGATTAATTCCTGATCAATATTTTTGATAATTCAGCACATTGAAATTTACAGGTTATGTTAAACTTACGAATAGTTTTTTAAATGTATATTTCTGTTTTATAGGGTTGTGAAGCGTTGCAAATAAACACCTCTCCCGTCAATCGGATTGCAGCCTAATGCATTTCTTCTTTTTAATTTCTAAACACCGAAAGTAAACATAACCTTAAATTAAATATATCTGTCACATCAAGATTGTCATTTCAACCCGGCAACGTTGCAACAGGTTGGTTTGTGACTTCATTACCTAGCGAGCGCGAATGTTCTTTAGCGAAACAGTACTCGAGTAACATTGGAACTAATAACTCACCTACAGGAAAGACGTCCATCACCATTTTATCACCTAAATTTATACCTTGGCAGTGGGCTGGTTGAGATATCACAATATTTTTGTCGTCTTTCGCGTTCTTATCGCCGCCCTGTTGGAAGTTCTTCACGATAACACCGCAATCTTCGGCGTCGAGCTTCGGAAACGAGCCGAAATCGCGCGAATACGCCCCGAGCGGCTTGGGCAAATCGTACGAATTCTTCGGGGTATCCGAGTAGGGCTTGAAGATCTGGAATTTCGACGAGTCGACGGGCTTGCCGGGCAAATCGATGGATTTCTCCGGCGCTTTGGGATTGTCCGGTCGCGTAGACGGTTTGTCTTTTTCCTCGTGCTTTCTATCTGAATGCGACGAATGTTTGTACGAGTAATGCTTGTCTTTGTCCGAGTAAGTGCGACTGTATTTGTGTTCGGACCTCGAATGGGAACTGTGGGAGCCGTGCTTCGAGTGCTTCTCTTTGCTGGAATGAGAGGAATGAGAGTACTTCGAGTCCTTGTCCGAGTAATGCGAGTTGTAATGTTTGCTCTTCTCCGAACTCGAATGTTTGTCGAGGCTTTTGGTCTCTTCCTTGTAAGGCATGTAGAACGCCGTGTACTTGTCGTTTTGTTTGGTATTTTGATGTTTCTCCGGCGCTTGAGCGGTGTCTTTGTCGCTAGGCGGTTTCGATTGATATGATTTGAGTACCTCGATTTTTTTAGCTGCTTTGCTTTTGTCTGGACTAGAATGTTTATCTGGGGATATTTCAGTGTGTGATTTGTTTGGAATAATGTCCACGATCTTACTATCGTCCTTGTACGGTAGATATTTGAAGGTGTATTTTTCATTGTGTTTGACGTTATTTTGAACAATTTGAGGTTTTTCTAGGTTGATTGCATGATGAATTTCTTTGTCTGTTGCGACGTTCGCGTACCCTTGAGGTGCTTTGATTATTTCAAACTTTTTAGTTTGTAGTATATCGATTTCGGGTTTTTGAATATGCTTCGATAAATCTGATGGTTTATCCACAGGTAGAATTTCTAGCTGAGCTTCAGTCTCTGGTATCTTCGTAACAAGCGGTTTATCCGATGGTTTACTAATCGAATCGTTTTTCTTTAGATTAATCGACAAATCCGACGGTTTGAGCTGTTTCTTCTCAACAACCACATTCGTAACCGGTACGTTATCATCACTAACATGCTCTTTAGGTTTCTCTTGATTGATTTTGGTTACGGTAACGCTTTCCGAAATTTCGTTGTGTCTCTCGCTGGCGTTTTTACCGTTGATAATCGGCGTTATCGAAAGATTCGCCGGCGATTCGCCGGAAAGGGACGAATTGGATGATTTGGAGTTGTCCCTCATGCTGTTGTGCACCTTCGTGAGAGTGTTCATGTACATCCAACCTTCCGGCCACAACGGCAACACCGCGGTTTTCAGAAATACAACGATCTGATCCTCTAAATTATCTTTGTGCTTCCCTTCCAGGATAAGGCAACGTTTCTTCACGCTGAGGATATCCTTCACGAGCTTCCTACAAAACGAGATTCGTAGTAATTAGTTCGAAATAATAGTTCGAATGCACTCACTTGGCTTCGTCGCTCCATTCGAACTTCGGCCTAGGCAATTTGGGAGGCTTTAATTCTTCGCTACCGGGATTTTCGCTGGAGAATCTACAACAACTTTTGAATTAGATAGAACATTTGTAGAGGTGTGTGAAGTTGGCACCGCAACTTTATTTCTCAGTAGTTCTGATTAGAGTTCTGGATTCCTTTTGGATAGTTTAGGAGTTCTTTTGTACAAAAAATAATAGTTCTGGTGTTTAACACATTATTTTTTTAATTAATACATGCGGTGCTAACTTCAAACCTAAATTTACAATGGAATAGTTCTGATTAGTTTATTTGATGGTATTTGATGAGTTCTAGAGTTCTTGAATATTAAAAAATAATAATAATAATAAATTTCATCAATAAACAAGTATAAACAGTTAATCAATTAGATATATTATCAGAGAACCCATAACTTTTTAATTATTGAAACATTCGCAAAATACCATTAAAGTTTCTTGTAGAACTCGTCGAGTACTATTCAGAACTGTTATCAGAACTTCTGAGAACTCTCAAAAAAAGTTCAATCTCGGACTAGTATTTTTTTTGTATCGAAGTGATTTTTGAGAATATCTCAAAAACTATTGTTTTAATCGCAAAATACCATTAAAGTTTCTTGTAGAACTTGTCGAATACTATTCAGAACTGTTATCAGAACTCCTGAGAAATTTTAATTAAAACAATAGTTTTTGAGATATTCTCAAAAATCACTTCGATACAAAAAAAATACAAGTCAGAGTTTGAAATTTTTTTGAGAGTTCTCAGGAGTTCTGATAACAGTTCTGAATAGTATTCAGCGAGTTCTACAAGAAACTTTAATGGTATTTTGCGAATTTTTCAATAATTAAAAAGTTATGGGTTGTCTGATAATATATCTAATTGATTAACTGTTTATACTTGTTTATTGATGAAATTAATTATTATTATTATTTTTTAATATTCAAGAACTCTAGAACTCATCAAAATACATCAAACAAACTAATCAGAACTATTCCATTGTAATTTTAGGTTTGAAGTTAGCACCGCATGTATTAATTAAAAAAATAATGTGTTAAAACACCAGAACTATTATTTTTTGTACAAAAGAACTCCTAAACTATCCAAAAGGAATCCAGAACTCTAATCAGAACTACTGAGAACTAAAATTGCGGTGCCAACTTCACACACCTCATTTGTTGGGTAAATAGAACGTACTTTTTCTTCAAAATCTTCTCGCTCTCCTGTTTGTACTTCTCTAGTAGATCGGGCATCGTGCAATCGATGATGTCTTTCAGTTTGGATTTCATGCTGACTATTCTTCTTTCGAATTCTTCCAGTTCCAATTGCTTCGCTCGACGAATGAGGGTGTCTTTTGCACAATTTACAAATTTAGCCAGGTGTTCGTATACTCGAGCTCTCGACGACTTGCTTAACGTATTTTTACTCTTTTTCTCTAGACTGAAAATTAATAACGATTTTATTTGTGGATATTTTTAGTTTAGCTTGCGTGTAATACCTTAATAGTAAGGAATTAACTTCGGTGGTGAAAAAGGCCTTTTTCCCTTCTCCCTTGTAGTTTATGGCAGCTTTTTCCAATTGCGAAAGTATATCTAATATTTCCGTTGGTAGGTTATCGGGTAGTTTCGTTTCGTCTTCTTTTACTACTTTACGAGGTTCTGCTTTACTATCGCTAGCATTCGCAGGTAACTCGGGGGAATCTACGATACAACAAAATATTAACTCACTAGAATTCTATTAGGTTTGTTCCTACAGAAAGTCACTGATTTGTTACCAATGAGTTTCTGACTCTTCTATTTCGCATGCGCGGTTTATGATTGAATGGTGTTATCAAATTTCCGATTTCTTGATGGAACAGTCTTTACATTTATTACATATTAACCAAGTATCAAACAAAAACAACAAACAACATGACCTAATAATTAACCTACACTGTGTTATTTATAAGATGCGACATAGGGATTCCTGTACAAATGTGTCAAAAGTAAGCTAACTTTTTTACCAAATAACGTTCGTAAAAAATAATGACAGATTTGAAAAGATCGTCAAAAAATAAGTCGAAATGGACATTAAGTTTTCTTAAATTCGTTCTGGTTTAATTAAAAAATGTATAATTAAGTTGAAAAAAGTCAAACGTCATAAATGTGTCATTTTTATGTCACTATCTAATAATTGTAAAATGGGCGGAGTTAGTCGGGATGGTTTACGCTCTGAAATTTAAAAATTTTAGCGGGAAGTGATGTGGTTCAATCCCCGCGCAGTAAAGACATTTTTTCTTTTTTTTTTTGGTTTTTTTCTAATATTTTTGTCTAAAAAATGTTAAATAGAATTATTTAAAATAAGACGAGCTTAAGTGTCAATTTTAATAACGCAAAATCTCGTTAGTAGGTAGAACCTTTAAAATGATGCCATATTTTTATTCTTGACAAAAAAAAACATTAAGAAAACAAAAAATGCCAAAGAAAAAAAGAAAAATAATTTCAGCACTGCGTGGGATTGAACCAGATTCCTTACCGCTGATTTTTTCAAACTTCAGAGCGTAAACCATTCCAGATATCTCCGCCCCTTTTAACAATTATTAGATATTGACATATGACGTTTGACTTTTTTCAACTTAATTATACATTTTTGTATTAAATCAGAACGAATTTAATAAAATTTAATGTCCATTTCGACTTATTTTTTGACCATCTTTTCAAATCTTTCATTATTTTTTACGAACGTTATTTGGTAAAAAAGTTAGCTTGCTTTTGACACATTTGTACATGAATCCCTATGTCGCATCTTATAAATAACACAGTGTATATTCAGAAATACAAATTAAACCCTAATTGAAAATGCGCTTGCGCCGGATTCTAAATCTCTGTACTATCAGCAAAATTTTTCTGACTATCACAAAACCAGTCCCTTGAACTGTTGGAACAATAAATTGTTAACCAAATCAGAATCAGAGGTGTCTGTGGAGTTTGTTGGAACGCCTAAATTATTACTGCGCAGACTCCTGACGACCACCGGCTATTTCTGACTGTTGTAGGAACAAACCATAGACTATTAACTATGGACGCGGTTTAGACAAAGAGGTAGTGTTGTCGATGAATGAGAGAGATGCAGCTAGTTTGGGCATATGGCAATGAGAGATTGGACAATGCATTAGCCAATAGTAAGAAAGCAAAAGACCACGTGAGTTACGTTTTCAGAAATGCAAGGTAGCTGGGATAGAGGAGGGTAGCTTATGGTAGAATATGGTTGAGGATTTATTATTTTTTTACCGAGCAAAATGCATTTTTCAGCTGAGCCTAAATTCCCACGCATTTGCAAATACAGTTCTTATTTTGTATTGTTATTTGGAACCTACTACCTATTAGCCAGTACAGATTTCGCAATTTAAGACCTAACTGCTTTCTCTTGTAAAAAATATGTTTCTTCCAGGTCATTCATCTGTCCAAGTGGATACCAAGATAAAAACAATATTTAAATATTAAGCGTATAAATAATTTAACAGATTAATCGCCTTTTTTCACACACCCTGTATATATTTTATATTTTTTTTTGTCCCGCCTACTTTTAGCCCAAACTAGCTCCATCTCTCACGGACCTCTCTCTCTATCATTGGGAACGCTGAATAACCTCAAAATACCGATTGTGTCGCGTCCATACTTAATAGGTCTATGGAACAAACCTATTATTTACTTACACTTACCGCTATTTTTCGTTAAACTATGCACAATTGTAGCATTATCAGTCGATTGACTAAGGCTATTTTCTCCAACGACTTGTTTAACGACGGATTCGATGGCGTCGGTGACGCTGGAAATGTTCATCGGTTTCTTATTCTCCTTCGAGGAATCCTTCTCGGCGACGTCCTCTTCTTCCTTCAAATCCGGCGGAATGGACATGTTGAGATCTTCGCGTTTCGCCTTCAGCAAATCGTTAACAGTCTTTTTGAGATGATGATCTTTGGGATCCGATCCGACGCGAATCTTGTTTTTGCTGAACAACTTCTTCTTGATGGCTTGCTGCATGGTGTTGGGGGGCAATAGGAGTTTGGGTTTCTTCTTCTTGACAAAAAAAAACACACACACAAACGATTAGATTGAATAAATGATGCTATAGTCTATTGCCAAAATAGTAGGCACTAAATTCTCAGAAATGATTGTGAAGAATTTGCGATAATGGGTCTCTCCCAGTGGCGTACGGAAAATATCGTAGGTTACAAGGTTGTTCGACGGGAAAATCAGCAAGAGACTAATAATTAGCAGAACAAGGATTATGTAATAAATATTATTATACAGTGTGTCCACGGATGGGATTGCCTATAGAAGAAAACTTTTTATTATTCGTTTTACGACAAAAAGTCATTGTTTATAAAAATTTTTGCTTCTTTTAAAAATGAGAATAACACTGAAAATTCTTAGATTGGATCTACAGGGTGTTGTCAAATTAAGAAAACATGAAAATACCTCAAGAGAGAAGTACCATTATTTTTTATTTTACACAAAATTTTTATAAAAGAAAGTTGTTTAAAATCTAAAATAAAGCCTGAACACAAATTTTCAAATTAAAACTCCAATTTTGTGTGTCTACGGATGGAGTTGACCAGAGGAGAAAATGATTATTAACTTTACGAAAAAAAAGTAATTCTTTATAAAAAAAGAGCATTAAAAGAGAGATTAAAAGCATTTTTTTGTAAATAATAATGTAAGATAATAAATAAATTCTTTCTTTATGTAAGATAATAAAAATTCTTTCGTTTTTTCTTGACATTTTTTCCTGTTTCTTAATTTACTTTAACACACTATACGTCTTATTTAATGTTTTGATATGTGAATTTAATTTTCTCGACAAGTTAATTTTTATAAAGAATGGCTTTTCGTCGTAAAATTAATAATAACCATTTTTCTTATCTGGTCAACTTTATCTAGGGACACACAAAATTTGAATTTAAGTTTGCAAATTTGTATTCAGGCTTTATTTTAGATTATAAACAACTTTCTTTTATAAAAATTTTGTGTAAAATAAAAAATAATGGTACTTCTCTCTTGAGGTATTTTTATGTTTTCTTAATTTGACAACACCCTGTAGACCCAATCTAAGATTTTTCAGTGTTATTCTCATTTTTAAAAGAAGCAAAAATTTTTATAAACAATGACTTTTTGTCGTAAAATGAATAATAAAAATTTTTCTCATATAGGCAACCCCATCCGTGGACACACTGTATTTATATACAAATATTATTATATTATTTATTATACAAATATTATTATATTAATAATCATTATCTTCTGAGGAAAACTCTTCGGATGATGAACTATAATCAAAAATTGAAATCTAACTATAAATTACAAAATATCGAATTGAATGCAGTTAAAAAAGTGTATATTGTGTTCGGCTAATATTTACATCTCCCTCTACCTTTCGGCAACTTTAATCTGTTGTTCTTTTCTCCGCCTAAGAAAAAGCTCGATGAACGCAAGGTTGCCATTTATAAGTTTGAGACGCATAACATTATTTAATTTTTGCATTTCTTTTAATAAACATTGTAGTTATTGAATACATTTAAGTAGCAAAACGATACTTTAATGAATAAAACACGTCGTCCGTTATTCTATGGCTATTTAGCAGCTTGTAAATCATGTAAATAGAAGATACTTAGATATTAAGAATCACAACCTGACAACAATGTTTTCGTTTTAAAGCGATATTATTTCCGAGAATTTAGTGCCTACTATTTTGGAAATGGACTATAATTCGTGACATAGTTAAGTTTTGAATTTTCTCACGTAGAAATGTAAACATTGATTAATCAATGATTAATTATTAAATGAATTGAAATCATTTTAATTTTATTAAGTGCGGATCTGTAATTGTAATTTTTATTGGTTTATATGAATGTTAATTCAAGTTCAATAGGTCTATTTCAAGAATTTTCATGAATGTGTTAAGTAAATCTGGTTTTATTAAAGAAAAAATAATTAAAATCCCTTCAATTACAATTTACATGGACCAAAAATCTCATAATGTACATTTTAACGTTTAAATTTTGGTAGAAAAACGGCATGCGGGAAAATAAATAGTTGATGAATACATTCAGTTTTTTATGCTCTTTCTGAATTTGAAATGAAATTTTTAAAAATATGATGTATAGGGTGTTGTTTTAGGGTCGGTCAAATTTTATTATTTTTTCTAAATCCGGACCTCGAATTTGTAATTTTTTAATGTGGCAATAAATTGTCCTAAAGGTATTGAATATCTATGCCAAATATCAAAAAAATATACTGAGTGATTCAAAAGTTATAGGTGTCGAAAGAAATGGCCCAAATTCAAAAAAACACCCTGTAACTCGGTTATAAAGGGCGCAAGACCCATAGTATATGGGTTTTTTGTAATCCCCTGGGTGACCTCTATACAGGGTTAAAATATTGCCCTTTCCCAATGAAACACCCTGTATTAAGAATCACAACCTGACAACAATGTTTTCGTTTTAAAGCGATATTATTTCCGAGAATTTAGTGCCTACTATTTCGGAAATCGACTATAGTCAAACGAATCACCTTATTAGCGTTGTCGCTATCGCTATCGGACGTTTCCAAAATCCTCTTCTTGCTCTTGTTCTTCTCGTCATCGTCGCCTTCGCCTTCGGACGATGACGAATCGGAAGATGATGCGGAAGATGAGGAAGCTTGAGGGCTCCCTTCGTCGTCAGTCTTGAATACCAAAGCGCCGGAATTCACGTAGAATCCGCCGTGTAGCGTCGTAACGTTCAACGGTATAATCTCGTCGTATCCATCGGTGTTATCGATAAACGAATCGGATTCGTCGTAACCCATGCCGATGTCCGCGTAATCGTCCTTGCGCCCTTTTCGCTTCCGTTTCGCGCCTGCCGCTCCACCGATCATCCCGGAACCCTAATTTTTATGCGATTAAAACATATGTACAGTGTTAGAAAATTATTCGCGCATAATAGGGAAATCAATGTTAAATTCTTAGCCGGCTGAAATCCAGTCTACCAGTGTACATTTCAATAGAACGTCGCGATAAATTCTAATAAATTTAATTGTTCTACTGGACTTCACACCGCGCTTTGGCTTGGTTAGATTAAAAATCAAATAATTTCGACGGTTTCGACACTTCGACAATATCAAAACGGGTTCGGATGGGCAAACGTCGAGTCGATTAAAAAGAAATGAGAATTTTTAAACGATAATTTATTGAAAAAATATCACTAATATTAAAATAGAATTATGTAGATATGTCTTTTTGCCACAATGGCTTGAAAAAGAAAGTAAATTCTAAGAAAATATTAAAAAGGAAACTCCAAAAATAAACTTAAAGATTATTTTAAAATAGAAAATAAAAGAACTCTAAAAAATAGTCTACCGCTTTCTGCTAAACTATAGCCAAACCTGCCATACAGATGTCATCCCATATTACCGAGCTGAGGTATAATTCTAGCTGAAAATTGAATTATTTTTTCCCTTATTTCAACAAAATTTGTTGCTGATTCAAAACTGTACCTACCGATACACACATTTTTTGAAATATAAATTTTCTAACAGTGTATACCTATTACCACTATACCGCTTATAATGGTCTAAAACCCGTAGCAAACATTATACTGTGGTGTGCCTGCTTATTTATGCGCATGCTCAAGTGAAAGATTTCTTGATTGGCTACTTTTGACACAGCAAATGAAACGTCAGAAACGTGCTAGCTTTTATTTTGGTATATTTTTTGATATATTTTTAAAATCGACTTTGACTTGCCTGTGTAAATATGTCAGGTTACCGAATTTAAACACGATTTCAAGTATTATTTTCCTTCTTTTCGTTTTAGGCCTCAGCTACTCGCTATTGGTCCTTTTGAAATTAACGCGCTTGCGTATAAACGACTAAGCACACCATAGAGGGTCGGATCTCTCTCTTTAATCGCTACGATTTTCTCTTATGGAATGGATAGGGAGTTAGCAGTATATTATAGTAATAGGTATATGGATTAAAATTTACGGCGGTTTCGGAAGAGCGATAACTCACGTATTTTTCTTCCATTTGCTGGGCGATCCTTTTGACGTCGTCGTCGTTGTCGCCGAAAGGATCCAAACCATTTTCGAGGCCGTTGGTGTTGGGAGGTTTGGTTTGTTTCACTTTTTTCTGGAAAAAAATGGGAATTGTTGATGATTTTGTATGCTAATTGGGTTAATTAATTGAGTGCCGATACTTCGGGATGTGAAATTCGGTTGATTTTCAGAAGAAAAGTTTATAGCAATATACAGGGTGGCACATTAGTATGGAAAAGCTCAATATATCTGTTATTGTAGAAGATATCAAAAAAACATCATAACAAAAGTTGTAGATCTTTTTAAACTGCACATTTTAAAATTAGTTACATTCATACAGAGTGTCCCGTTTTTCCGTAGTAGATCAAACTTATACTTTTTTATATGGAACACCTTGTTTTTTATTTAAAAATTGAATTTAGTTCGTTTTGAGCTTTCCAAAAATGTAATTTTGTATAACGTTATACTGAGTTATTTAAAAGTTATGACCACTTTTCCACAAAAATTGTACTAAGTTTACCACTCTGTAGAAACTAAATGGATTGAATTGAAAATAAATTTCAGGTTTTACAACATTGCAAATATCCTGAAAATGTACAAAATGAATATTTTTTGTCAATTTTAACCATACTTCTTACAGGGTGGATCCAAACGCAAAAGTAATATGTTCTCTGTTAATTTAAATGGATCACCCTATATTTTATATCGTTAACAGGAAGTATTTTTGAAGTACTTTCATTCTTAATAACCATTCCCTATACCTAAAGTTAAACATTTTCGAGATATTTCAATTAAAAAAAATTAGAACTTAAAATTGAAGAATCTTTTATTGTTCAACTCGTAGAAGTGACCATATTGAAAACTGAAATGCACCGTACGGTATAAATAAATAAAAATTATCAAATAGTGAATATAATTTGGAGATTTATAATCGAAAAAGGACTAAGCTAGACTGGGCAAATGTAAAAATGGGGTAAATGTAATATTTTTACCTTTATGTTAATGTTTTTATTATTTTTATAGTTCTTTTGATGTGCATTAGACAGGGTTTGTTTCTTATTTTTTCTTTATTATTTTGTAGCTCTGTTATTTTTTGAAATAAATAAATACACAGCATATCAAATTTTAGAGGAACCAAATATTTTTTTACAATTGCCCCATATGTTTTTCTATATAATTGTATTGCACTTTAGAACCTTTTGTTACATTTACCCCGTACCATGCGGTAAATGTAACATATTGTCAACATTTTAAAAAATATGTAAAATCTTTTTCTTCCTTTTTCAAAAAAACTTTTTAATACCTCGATTCTTTAGTTTAGGAAGTAGTGAATTTAATGTGGTATCAGCATTTCTAATAAGACAAAAAATAAAGCCACATATTAGGATTTAATTTGAACTATTCAAATTTTACAACCGATTTGCCCCAGTCTACCTTACCCTATTATTTCTATTTAGTTATTTATAAAACAATTTCTTGTACAATTCAGGTTACTAATAAATAGAGCGATAAAACCGAATTTCCCACTTGATTTTCCAATGAATTGATCACAGGCGGAGGTAGTTATCTACAAATCGAAAATAAATCATCTCCAAATGAACAGATAAAACCCCATACAAGTACAAACGAATCCTCCAGACTAATTTAACGCTTGCTAAATATTTTTATTAAACAAATTTCGAGCGAAAAATAATCATTTGTTTACAATTAAAATAAATAGGGAATAATTCCGAAGCACCAAACACGATTCGATGTCACGCCCATGCACATGTGATGTGCAGTAAGTCTCGCTTTGTGCGAGTATAAACCTCCTACCTCTCGAGCATTTCTGCTCGCCTGATCCAAACGCGCCCAAATCCAATCTCGACCGTACGAAATAAGGAATAAAAAAATTCATTAAACAAATTATTTAACGCACTTTCGCGCATTTTTCCCCGAAAAATTAATTACGCAGTGCAATTTTCGAAATTCGATGCAACCGCGCAACGAGCCCGAACGCGCCCGCCGGTACTTCTGGTACTTTTAAACTACAAGAAAAAAAAAACAAAGTTGTTTAAACGAATTTCACAGTAAAATACGATTAACAATCGCAATGTGCATTTCGACATTTACATAGTTAAGTAGTTAAAAAATTGTTAATTATTTTAAAAACGGAAACAGATAGTAAACGCATAAATCAAGCGAAGCAACACACTAACTATTACAATATTTTAATTGGAACGAAACGAAACATAGAAAACATCTATGCAGGTCAACCGCACGCTTATGATACAACTATAAATACCACGAAATTTTAAACAACAAACCGCTAATAACGCGTTTTAATCGCTTTAATAAAACAATTACGAATTATAATAATTCTTTCGAATTTAAACAGCTAAATCTAAAGCCTATTTCTGTGCGAGTCGATAGCGAAAAAACTTCACCGCTAGAGAGACACCGTCGACGCGACGAAATCCCCCACGTTCGCGATCTACGTACGGCAACATTGCGAAAATGGTACGATACAAATTCAATTAGAAACCCAAAAGGTCGTGAACAATAAATTCGAGAAACGTTGAACGACACCGGCGATAGACGAAACGAAAATTCGATAGGGAAAGAAATCCTCGTCGAAAGTTAGTACTAAGTTTGGAATGCTGCACGTTGCAGTTTCGACACGACCAAATCCCCGGATTGGTATAAATAAAAGGACACAAACGTGATCGATCCCCGACGAACTCTGGCTGGGAGGTGGTTTTCGAAAGGGAAATAATATGCGAAATGTAAAAACCCTTCGACATCGTCCGGGCAATTAAGAAAACCCCGTGTACTCGCGACGAATGTTACGCGACTTCGCCTTTTGTTTTGGGTCGCTTCGATTTTATTTTTTTATCAAATCTAACTTAAACATGGCGACGTAAATACTAAGTTGATAATTAAAGTGGGTTTTGAGATAAAAAATACGGTAGAAACGCGTCGTTTTTGCAAAGGGGCAGAACCTTCCTCAAGAATTTTTGAATTGACAGCTGTCATAGAGGATCTAGTCCTCGCGAAAACGAAACGACTAAACATATTGGATTGTCGTTCGATGTTAAACCGAAATCGAGACCATTTTCTTTCATAACTTACCTTTGCAGTAGCTAGTAGGTCCTTATAGTTGTATTCAGGGTAGTAGTCTTCATTCGATTCGGGCAAGATCACAGTTATCCTCACTGTTTTCGACTCCTTTTTTATCACTTTTTCACTCACTTTTTGGGGTTCTAGAGTATTCAGTGCCACACGTTTCGTTTCTGACATATTTCATCACAAATTTTCATTAAAACAACACAACCCGGTTTCGCTCCAACATGTTTAAAATGCACTACACTTATAACAAGCACACGATTACGAATACCAGCTGTGTACGCAGTGTTTCGCGCATTGCATGGTTTTTGAACGGAATTTGTAGGAATTTCATTCGTCGGTCACTTATGCAAACTGTAATTATTCAATTCGACGATAGGTGTCTTGTACTTACAAGTTATCGATATCTTTTTCTAACACTACAGAATTTACTCAATGTGTCAAGTAGATGGCGCTGTAGGCATCAAAACACCCATAGAGAAATATAGAGTGGCAAAAGCATACGAATGCGCGTGAAAATAATGGAACAAATTGAATTTGACAGATTTGACAATTTTGACATTGTCATGTCATTTAAGGTAGAAAAGACAATGAAAATAATGAGATAGCTAATTGAACTTTTGTTATGTAAGGAATAAAGAGAGCAAATGCCCGGTATTCGCACGAAGCGAAGCGAATAACCGATAAAGAAGTTCCTGTTCCTTACTATCTTATAGAATTGATTGAGTTCTAATTCTAATGCTTGCAGCGGAATAATTCGGTCATATGGTATATTTTTATTATGATTTAAAATTTTTGATACTTGTAGTAATAGAAATTTCCTTCATTTTGTTAACATTTATTTTATTTCGTATCGTTTATTTATTTAGTCGTTTATTTTAACCTTAGATCATATAAACTATTAGTATATACGGTTTTAACTATATAAGGCCTACACAAGATCGCCTAAAAGTAGTGGATTTCCGTTACTTCTGGCAACGCTGTGTTTAAATTCCGCTACATCTGGCAACACTGGTATCTACCTTAAATGACAAGTGACAGTATGCGCAAAATTCAATTTGTGCCATCTACGAATACACGCTTTTTCCACTCTATATTCTCTATCAAAACACCCAGCATTTCCAAGGCACCACGGTCGTATATTACAGGTCTGGAAACTCGGAAAGTGTTGGGGATGATGTGACTTTTTCTTCAGTAACATAAGCTTCAAGAAATTCAAAATTGCCCCTACCCGATACTAGCTTGTTAAGCGGTTTCCTCACGAACTCTCGATCTAACCCACAAGAAACGCAACACCCCCACTACCACAAGCAAGGCCGAGTTTCCAGACATGTATGGTAAAACCGTGGAAAAAACTGTTTAAAAAAGAATTAAAATGGAAAATAGTTTTTTGTTCATTTTAGCTTGAAATGTAGAAATGTCAAAATAGCCTACTACGTTTAATTACGTCATTTCACCTCAACAAATCAAATGAGTACTTTTATTGGATAACTTGATTATTTGTTTAAATTTGACTCGGCTAAAAAAAGAAAAAGACGCAAATTCCAAGACATCGGATTTTGGATATTATTTTACAATGTTGCATTTACCTTACGAGAAATGTAATAAATTAACACTTAGGTATACTTGAAGTACTTTGACTTTTATTATTCCCTAAAAAAATATACAGATAACTGAAAAATTGTACGCAGTATGTTCCATGGGTGCAACAAAGACAACTTCCGTTAGTCTCATGTAAAGGAAAAAGAAACAGTAATATTGTGGGATTGCAACTTCCTCACTCTAACCCACTGTTATTTTAATATTCTTTCTTTGTACCTAAAGATAATAATTGTTTACAGTGACGTCATTGAATTTAGCCAATCCCAGTGCTCTATTTGATACAAGATCGTTTGGTACAGTCAAATCAAATGTATCAATATAATTTTTACTGTTACACCTACGTAACACCTACGTTACACCTACGAATATGCATGCAATAATCTTCATCGAGCAAAAATAGTGTGGGCGAAAACAGGATAATCCTTCGAATTCTCAATTCGCTCCGGTCGAAACTAATTCCAAGTAAATCCTACCTATGTTCCAGAGATTTCAATTACACGGGAATCGTTTAATTGAAAACAGAAAGAGATTGAAAATTAGGAGAGAGGCTGCCGTTCGTTTCCCGGTTGTGGAACGAGCCCGTTCGTCCGTCTTTTTCATATCATATGGGTTGCAGCGTTGTCGATACCACTTTTTTACTCCATTATCAATAACAATCCAGCAAATTTAAAAATTAATTGACATTTGTCATTAATGCGAATATTACTTTTGTCTACTTTCGCCACAAAACATTAAAGAATTACAAACCAGAAGCAATCAGTTGTCAAAATAATGACATATAAATGTCACTACCATCTGTCATTCTCAAACGCAAGATTAGCTATACTTTTAAACAAAACAGATTACATTGTAATTGATACATTATTATTGATCATTTGAAATATTGGCAATGATTAAAACAATGCATCTACATGAAGTTAGCTCTTTAAGCTCTGGAGTAGTTTTTGGTGTGGCAAGAGTCCTCAATAGCTCGGGATTCGTGGCAACACTGCGAACAGGATTCATGGGGTGAGTGTTTGTCTGGAAGCAATTGGATCCGTGGGGTCGGCAGTTGTTCGTTCTTGGAGGGAAGTTGTCGTCCGAACATGATGGCCAATTCAGCAATTGTCTACAAGCGAAGACGAACTTTTATGGGACGACATCTCTCTCAGGATCTACTAGAATTGCCCATCTGGATTTATCGGGTCTAATTTCGGAGCGAAAGATCTTATGTGTGATTTTTCTCGCTCTCTGTAGCTGATGGAAAAATAGAAGAAAAAAAACCTACTGTTAATACCTTTTTGTAATTAACGATAATTGTGTACAAAGTATCTTGATTAAAACATTTAAATTCAACTCAACTTACTCTGCTCTGTACGTTGCATCAATTTAATAACTACGTATATAACTTCGAGGAGTACGTTTGAGGATTCACAAAACAAAATACAACAACTAATATTTCCGGAGAATTTCCCAAAGAATTTCTCGCCGACTAGGAAATATTTTATATATGTTGTCGGAAGTTATATTGAACACGGTGCCGCCTAACTTCATTAATATTGAGAAAGTGCATCTAGAGGTAAAGTAGGTTAATAACAACAGATGCTCATGCTCGATGTTACCGGGAACTCTTCTCTTCTCTTCGGCACGTACTCGCTCGCTCAGTTCGCAAAAACATCAAAAATCCCGGCTTCCTCTCTGTCACATTTTCTCTCCCGATAATGAACAACGTTATGCTGAAGGATGGCTGGTCTGTCTGTTTTCGTTATTACACAATTTTTCCATCTTAATATGTGCATTAAGGCAGCAGATTGACACATTAGTTACGTTATTTCCTTTTTGGGTTTCCTTCTTATAGACCTGGAAAAATACCCATTTTTTGATGCATTTTTCTACAGGGTGTTTCACAACTTATCCGACAAATTTTAACCACATATGCACTGTTACGAGAGAAGTTAATTTCCAAAAAAAATGTAATAAAAGTCTTACAGAAATCGAGATAATAAAATAATAGTTTAACAGTTCAATTACTTATACAAGATGTTCAAAATTGTTCCCATTTACTGCAATGCAAGCTTGGGTGCTTGTTTTTTTTTTGTTTTAACCATTGTTTTGGTGCAACATTTGCTACAGTAAAATATTAAGGCAAAATTATGAACGCAAAATGCAGTATTTATTTTTCAATTTTTTATTGAAACTCGGGTTTATAATTTTATTTCTGTAGGACTTTTATTAAATTTTTTTGAGATTTCTCAAAGAGAGAGAAGTTGATTTCTCAAAAAAAATGTAATGAAAGTCCTACAGAAATAAAATTATAAACCCGAGTTTCAATAAAAAATTGAAAAATAAATACTGCATTTTGCGTTCATAATTTTGCCTTAATACTTTACTGTAGCAAATGTTGCACCAAAACAATGGTTATAACAAAAAAAAACAAACACCCAAGCTTGCATTGCAGTAAATGGGAACAATTTTGAACATCTTGTACAAGTCTTTGTACAAGTAATTGACCTGTTAAACTATTATTTTATTATCTCGATTTCTGTAAGACTTTTATTACATTTTTTTGGGAAATTAACTTCTCTCGTAACAGTGCATATGTGGTTAAAATTTGTCGGATAAGTTGTGAAACACCCTGTGTAACAAACGCTTTAAACCGTACATAAATCCATACTGATATGCTTCGGTGAAGATTGAGGTACGAGTAAATGAACTAACATGCAGGTTTATATCCCGGGGAGGGGTTTTTCGAGGCGAGTCTTTGCTCTCGGTAAATTCCATTAGGATGCCAGCGTTCTCCATCCGACGATCACTGCAAATCAAAAACTTATAGCAACTTTGATTGAATGAGAATCGACTGCGGCTACCGCAGTAGCCGGACTACAAGCTCGCTAATACGATTCTCCGTTATTCGTTTATCGGGATGAGTGATCGATGCGGTCCCGACGTGAAATTTGTGCAACGCCACGAAGACTAATGCCCGATTTACCAACATGTTCTTATGCATTTCCTAACTAAGTACTTCCTAAGGTAGGAATTACTTAAATTGAATACTTACCTAAATCGAATTTCACCAACATTAGAAATCCCTTACTAAGAAATACCTGGGTAAAAATTTGATTTTGACAATTTTTTGAATTTTATTGGTAGCATTGGCTAATTTTGACGTGTAAACCGAATAAGCGGAGATCGTAATTGAATATGTTGAGAGAGAAGAAGAGATGTTGATGATCCGGGCCATCTTTAAACTATGTTAGTTATTTTTAAATCTCCTGAAGATGTAGTCTGTACATTAATAGAAAATAAACTTTCCGATATGTAAAATATTTCTGCATCTTCTCCTCCAGGACAATGGATCTTTACATGCTTGTGTACGGTCAATAGATCCAAAAACTTCCTGTTTTTCAAATTAAAAATCATCTTCAATTCTTTCTAATATTTGTAATACCGTATTTTTATATATCGAAAAAGGCGAAAAAAAATCAGTTTCGTCCAGTTTCTAAAAACTGTCCTCCCATTTTAAATTTTCATCTAAAGAGTGTAAAGACAGTCAAGACTTAAGTCACATGAAATCACATGAAAAGTATGGTTAAGTATTTCCTAAATGTTTTAGGCAAGCCCAGTGAGCTGTCCTAACTTTAGACATTTCCTATTACTTTTAGGTATTACTTAGCGCATAGTGAAACGCAAATTGTACTTAGGCATTCCTAAATCCTGTTTAGGTATTACCTAACTTTAGGAACTTGTTGGTGAAATCGGACATAACACACTTTTCGTTCCGCAATAAGACCGCGAATAAATAATTAGAATTCCGTTGCCGTCGAACAACGATAAGGTAAATAAATAATCGCCGGATTTAAAAGCCCATTTGAATGAAAGCGCCATGGCGGACTAACCCTTTATCGAGCCGAGTGCATTGTAGAATGGGCCAAACAATGCCTTCGGGTCGAATGAATTCCGAGCTGGAAAGAATTCTAACAAAAGCCGCCTTCTGGTTAATTGAAATAAACCATTTGCGGCCGTAAGTAGCTATAAATGGGAAAAATAAGATGGAAATATAAGAGTTGCTGCTGCTGTTGCAAGCGTTATCTCTGCACTAAATAAAGTCGGGGAACACAATAATGAGAAACGGTGTTTGTTCGAAAAGTATTTGCTCCTTTTTTTTTCAACCTGGAAGTATATCACGAAATCTCTGAATGTATTGTTAAATTGCATTGGTTCATAAAGTTAACAATAAAAGATCAATAAAATTACAAAACCAAAAGATTTTCTATCCAAACGAGAAGTTGTATAGAAGATAAATTGCAGAAAAAGACTATCAAATTGTAACATTACAACCTTCTTATGAATACAACTTTGTAGGCAAACTTTCAATTGATAAACAGACCATTTCACCGACTATAACTCATCAGTGGGAAACCGATAAAGAATAGTTGAAGACATAAGCGAATTTCAAAAAAGGGAATATCCTCGGGCTTGCAGCAGCCAGCGGCAGCCGTCGGCCCCATTGACTTATTGTTATTATTCCCATCACACGCCATATTACATCGCTGGAAAGAGACGGCGCTAATCCTGCGCTCGGACTCCATACAACAGCCGAACGGAGTGCTGAACCAGCGTTTTGTCGCATCTAGACCAACCCCAAGAAATATTATCCGCCACTCGAATTCGAATCTTTGAATTATACCGGCCGAAATTAGATGGTTTACGGTTTGGGAAACATCAATGAAGTGCCCGTTTCGATGGTTCTTTTTTCGGTCGGTCGTATTCCACGGATAAAATTCAGTTTGGATTTGTTAGCAGATATTTTATATATTTTTCTTTTATCCGATTAGGGGCCCAATGCTTCCGATATAGAAATTGATTCACTCGTATCGCCATTTGAATTACAAGTAAATTGATTCATTCCAAGACGAAGTAATTCCACCACCAATAAATAAACAAATTGTCTTTGCGAATAGAGAGCAGAGTTCCGGTGCTCTCCTTTAATCTAGTACTAATTATCTAATTACAACAATAAATAAACAAATTGTCTTCTTTTCTTCCACTATTAGTGGCGAATAGAGAGCAGAGTTCCAAATACATAATTAAAATAAAATCAATACCACAAGTAGTAAGTAGAGGTCTATAGTCATTAGGTATAGTTGAAGTATAGAGGAGGTGTAGAGAGAGCATGAACGGTGATAAAGCAGTTCTTGTGCAAATAAACATCGGGATTAGATAATCGCCGTGCATAACAATGGAGAGGCGGCGGCGCGACGGCGGCGTTTTCGCCCCGGTAAAACGTGAAGTGGATTTGACGCAAATGAATTGGCTTCGTAAGGCCAAGAGGAATGTTATTGTGTTCTCTAACGACGAATCATGTTTAAACTAAATTGGGGTAATGAGCTTTGAACTTCAATGATTTTACTCGAAACTTTGGTCTCTGTTAGTGTAAATTGAACTCGTTATAATATCGGAAAGTTATGCAATTATGTTACCTCACCACTTCGCGGCTCGCATTCGGTTCTACTTCAGTTTCATATTGGTTTTCATCGAGGAAACGTCAATATTAGCGATTCCTTTCAATAGACCTATTCAGTTTACGAAAGAGAGTGATGGAGTTATTAGATCGACATAGGAGAATAAAAGAAGCAAATATGTTTCACGCGCAATCTGTGGAACCATTTAAAATCTGCGCCAGCATAAGTGCAAAAAGATGAGATATTTGGCCTATTTCATTGCTGATTGACAGACCCATTGAATGTTCCTTAGATGAAAACTGTATTAAATATAAAAAAGAAGAGACCATCTTCAATATTAACCCTATTTTGTTGCTTGTTTCCGTTTGATGTTTGTTTATGTTCAGTGTGTATTATTTTATAACAGTATTTCTTTGTATTATTTAGTATATTTATTTATAAAGGTTATAATTTTCTATATAGGTCAATTGGATTATTTCTTTGAAATATAAAATGGCTATCCGATCAAAAAGCATTTTGGGAAACTTTGTACTAACCTCTTACACTTTCTTAGACTTGACCTGCATACATATACCTATTACTAATATACTGCTAACTCCCTATCTATTCCATGAGAGAAAATCGTAGCGATTAAAGAGAGAGATCCGACCCTTTATGGTGTGCTTAGTCGTTTATACGCAAGCGCGTTAATTTTAAAAGGACCAATAGCGAGTAGCTGAGGCCTAAAACGAAAAGAAGGAAAATAATACTTGAAATCGTGTTTAAATTCGGAAACCTGCCATATTTATACACGCAAGTCGAAGTCGATTTTAAAAATATATCAAAAAATATACCAAAATAAAAGCTAGCACGTTTCTGACGTTTCATTTGCTCTGTCAAAAGTAGCCAATCAAGAAATCTTTCACTTGAGCATGCGCATAAATAAGCAGGCACACCACAGTATAATGTTTGCTACGGGTTTTAGACCGTAGTAAGCGGTATAGTAGTAATAGGTATATGCCTGCATATATGTTTTAACCCTAATCCCCTTTCTGGGCGGTAAAAACAAATTTGTATCGAGTCCATTACAAATTAAATCCGACGGATTGTTGGATAATGACAAATGACGTCTGAAGTATGTCTTAAGTTGTCATTGTCTGGTGTCAGAACCGTATTGTACCTGAGGTGCGTTCGTTTGTTCGTTTAGATGTCAATTTAATTATCCACAGTAACCGCACGCAGCACAGGTAAAACTGAATAGGTCTATTTATAAATCCGTTGTTGGAAGTATTTACTAGCTACTAGAAATTATTCGAAAGTTAATTAGTTGATGGCGAGGGATTCATCGATCCTTGCCGGTTGATAAGGACACGTTTCGAGCCGCCTAATTCGCATAAAGCACGCACAAGAAGAGCCCCGACGAATCCACGTCGAATCTGCATTCACAAATTGCTCTCTGCGACGCGATGTTCCTCTCCGGATCGGTCGAGTTTAGCATCCCTTTGATGTTAAAACGCATTTTCATAAAGTTCGCCGACAGAAGACAGGAGAGATCGTGTGAAATATCGAGTTTGAACATTTTATGGGAGGGTTTTTCGAGGATTCCCTTTCGGGATAAATTCCGAAGGAGAAAAATAGCGGAATTGTTACGGCGAATAACGACGACGGGTCTCTTGTAGTTAGAGTCCGACCGTTCTTACATCAAAGAGAAAAAAAAAAAGGTTTTGGTTACTGCCCCAAACCGGCTGTCATTACTAGTTGGGATTTGTATGATGTAAAAAAAATCGGATATTTCAATAAATAAAATTCGTACATAATACATCACCTGAATTTACTTACAGATACTTCCTCTTCTCCCATTCACATATATAATAGCTCTACTACTACTACTACTTCAGGCGAACCTTGGCCGAGACAGCTCAAGCCAAGGCTCAGGCACTGAGGCCTCTGGCGGGCCCATTGTGCCATTCCTGCTGCTTATGCATCCATGAAGCCGAGTCCCTCGATGAAGGCCTCAGTCCTTTTCAATGGATGCCTATTTGTGTCTCCAGGGGCCATAACAGGGACCCCAAAGGTTCGCCTGCGTAGCACAGCCCACTTCTGACACTCCAGAAGAACATGGTCCGATGTTTCATCAGCCATGCCACAGCCCCTGCAAAGGGGACTTTCCTCTAAACCTAGGTTATAGAGGTGTTTTCTCAGACAACAGTGCCCCGTTAGGAGTCCTGCTATCTTTTTTAACCTACTCCTTGATAGTTCCACAGCTGCCCTAGCATGTCCATCAGTCCAGCCCCTAAGAAGGAGCTTAGATTGCCTAAGACCATGCAGAGCACTCCAATAAGCGAGATGCTGATTTCTCAGCCAAACTCCCGCCTCTTTACGAATCATTTGTTTTGTAAGGCCCAAGGTCGGGCCCGGGCCACTGAAAGGAGTTGCCGTCCCCTCCACAGCCAGCGCATCCGCCCTCTCGTTGCCCTCAAAACCAGAGTGGGCCGGAATCCATTCTAGCCGCACTACATTCCGCCTCGCTAAGTCAGCGAGCCGTCCCCGACATTCAGCAGCGAGCTCAGAGTTGATGGTATACCCACTCAGGGCCCTGATTGCCGCCTGGCTGTCGGTGTATATGGTTATGTGACGGTTCACATAACCTCTGTCTAGGTTCATCTGCGCACATTCCAAGATAGCGTATACCTCAGCCTGATATGCAGATACCCCCTTGCCCAAGGGGACACAAACTTGTGTCTTTGGGTTCCTAGAGTAAATTCCCGCCCCAGCCCCATTACTGGAGCATGAGCCATCTGTGTACCAGACGATCCCATGAGGCTGTGAATTTCCCTCTCTTTCCCAGAATTCTCTATTCCGGATCTTCACCATATAGGGAGTTGAAAAGGAGTACCTGCGCAGGCAAACGTCTGCCGCTCGAGCCAAGACTGGGACATCTCCCAGGAGCCTAAGCTTCTTGACGTGCCTGCACCCTTCCTCACTTCGCACGTAACCCAAACTTTTCAAACGCAGGAGTGCCCTCCCAGCCTCGGCCTCAATCACATAGTGAAGTGGCCGAAGTCCAAGAATCACCTCCATCGCAGCAGTTGGTGTAGTCTTCATGCAGCCAGTTGCTCCCAAACTGACCACCCTTTGAAGGCGTGTCAGTTGCGTTCTAGCCGTGGCCAGGGTTACCCTCGGCCACCAGACCAGAGCCGCGTATGTGAGCATAGGCAGCATGATCACTTTATAGAACCACATGATCGTCTTTGGGGTTAGTCCCCACTTCAGACCGATGGCTCTCCTACAGGCCCAGTACGTGTTAGTCACCTTTTCTAGGCGACTATCAAGATGGGCCTTCCATGTCAGTGACTTATCCAGGATCACCCCTAGATATTTCACCTGTTCGACCACTGGAAGTGGTATTCCGCCAAGGTGCAGACCCTCCGGTCTTATACCTCTCCTTTTGGTGAAGGCAACTACCTCAGCCTTGGCAGGATTCACTGCAAGTCCGTGCTCGTTGCACCACCCCTGTACCCTATTCAGGGCCCTTTGCATTAGGTCCCTGAGGACTTGCATTATGTCCCTGAGGACATAATAGCTCTAACTCCAAAAAAACAAATGAAGGAGGAAGACCGAAACTAAAACGGAGTTTCTGGGGCATACGGAGGTACATGGGGGGACGTAAAATAATTCGCCGATTACGAAAATCTACCTCTTTTCTCTGGGAAAAAACGAAATTTTCCGTAATTCGATTTTAAAAGTGAAATTTTTGACACATTTCCAAATAAATTACTTGATGGACGTTGCCCGTTCGTTTGGTTTAAACGGAACTACACCGAAATAAGAGATTTTTTCGTTATTTAGACAATTTCGTTGTTTTTAATGGACGAGAATAAAAGAAAATGCAATAATACGCAAAAATGTACGTTTCCTGGTCATTTGTACTTACCAAAAACGGAGAAACGATCGAATTACTTTTAAAAAAACCCACACTAATGACAGCGGCGATGAACAAATTTCAAACTGTCAAAGTTGTCATTTCCGTTACTACGGGATACATTGACATTTAATTTGATGTACAGGGTGTTTTTTCATTAAGGAAATCGGAAAAATTGATATACGGAGCGTTTTTAACATTAAATGAAAAATTATTTTCAATTGAATTAAAATATAGTACAGGCTGACTCGTATTTAAGGAAATGTTAAATACATAAACCGAGCGAGTCAGTTTTAATAATACTACAAGAATTTAATGTTTTTAAAATCCGTCCTACCTAATTCATTCGCTGTTAAAATACACGTTGAATTTGTTATTCCGTTTTTAAACGTAAACGAGTCGAAAATAAATTCCAAACAATATTTTCAGTTTCTTCCATCGAGCCGTATAATTATGCATTCCTTTGAAACCGGCGAAAGGAACTTTTTTAACGACGACAAAGGACGAAGAGCAACGTATCCGACTTCATTAAATATTTAAATGAAACCGTACTCGATGACATGGTAATGGTGTATTATTATTATGATCTGAGCGAGAGACGAACGAGGAACGGCCTCTCGCCGAAGTTTTCCAACTTCCATTTCGGTCTGGATGAACCCATGATTTTGCAATTCAAATTTTTCATTAGGTTATTTTCAGAAGATCCTTTTACAGGCTGCCTAGTGCCCATCATAAAAAGATTATATAGCATGTTTCTATTATCTATCATTAGGTAATTAATTTTTGTAGCTACTCCAAAGGCGAGGCGAAATTTAAAATCGCTTAGACAAGCAGACCTTCGGGGCATCTAATTGATAAAGCAATTGGAAAAAATAAAAAAAAAAAACACAGCGAAAGAGAGCGATCAGAAAAGCCTCTGCAAGGACGACCGGTCGCCGTAAGAACGTTTTTCACTTTTAGTGTCAACTCGAGTGTTTCAGGACCCTCAGGCGATATTTATGGGGGGAAACTCGAAAGCGGTGACAAAGAACCTCACAGTTCATGTCCTGTCCTGCGAATCGTAAACCCGATCATATTTTGATAGAAACAGAGCCATTCTTTGTTCGTTTTATCGAGTGGGGCCTGCTGGACTTATTCGATTTCCTAGAAGTGTGTTTTATTGATGGAATATCAACATTTTCGGAATGAGGAGCTGTAAAAATAACGTAAATCAGCCTTCTCAAATTTATTGGAAAGCTATACAGTTGAACACTCGTAAGAATTGGTTAGTGTATTTTTATTAGATACCCTTTAAGAACGTTCTTAATAAATTGTATTGTCAATAACTACTAATATAGAAATTGAAATAAATCTAATTGTGTTTACAATAAAAGTCAATTTTAATTCAATATTTTATCTGCAATAAACTCCAATATACCTGTATAAAGAATTTAAACGTTTCTCCCGAACATCTCATAAATCTGAATCAATTTTACCACGCCTCGAAATATTTTTAAAATGATTTTCTTGTTCTATTTATTCGATATGTAGCGCTGAAAAGGAGGAAAAGAAACCTTTTAACGAATCGCCTGCAATTAGACTAAACGAGCTTCGGATCCGGGGCGATATTTTCGTTTGAGAAAAACAACAAAAATCTCCTTTTAATATATCTCTCTCAATCTCCATTTACACGTCATTACCATATCGAAATACAAAAGAAGTTGCTAATGGCTTTCTTCTTCTTTCTTGTATATGTAGCCGGTTTTTTTTACCCTATTTATCCAAATGCATTATTTGTAAAATTGACGTAATTGACAAGACACTCTAAGTGTTTTTCTTTGATATTTTCCTAAAAGAAGGACTATAAAGAAAATTCAAGATGACTCTATACAATTTGTTTTGAAGTGGATTTTCGGGAAAAGAGAAAAGAACGATGGCGCTGTGGCCCTCGAAAAAAGGATGTATAAAAACAATTTCCAATTATCGATCCAACGCACACTTCAATTTGTTAGTTAGTTCAAACTATTTTTTGCCCAGAAGGAACGTTTGCTTCAAATTCCGGTCTGTTTGAAGTAAAGCTGATCCAGTTCACAACTCGGCTATGCAATCTTCTATTATTGCGACCGAATTTATTATGTATCATGCATATGCAGAGAATACTAGTTAGTGCACCGAATTTGCATTGTATATACACGGTTAGAACGCGGAAGTTAGGGCAAATAACTAAGATACAGTGCAAAACTTTAAACAATTGTTTGTTTATTTCCCCCTACCTTTATAATATATTTTTAACGAACCGACACTTAAGAGGAGCAATACACCAAAATTGCATCTTGTGTATACATTGCGCTTTCGCCATTTTTGACGAGTTTTTCATCGAGTTTTAATTAAATGAAATCAATCGGAATTAAAGTCGAATCGATGCGGGTGACATTTCGAAATAAAAAGAGCGGAAAACAAAAAAAACATTGACTCGCCGATTTGTGTTCCTACCGGTGGCAGTCAATGAACCGAATTTATTCCTGATTGAAGGGCGTATCTCCAACGGTCAGATATATCTCTTGCTATCGTGCAAACAAGGAAATAACCATTTGTGAAAAAAACTTATAGCTTAGTACAAGCGGCACGAATTTTTTAACTTATACACAGTGAAACAATTTGCTTCACGAAAGGCTTTAAATACGTTTTGTTAAGCCATTAAATTTTAATTCGTTAGGTAATATTTATGTTCACTCAAAGAGAATTAAATACCTAGCTAAATTTTTAATGTAAACGAGAAAATCCGGGGAATACCGCCGGCCCTAAAAATGGTTTATTTTCTTTAATCACTCAAACTCCCGGCTAAACAAGGCTCGGAATTGATTTTCGATTTCTTAAGTTCGATACGTTTTCACATAAATTT